ATATGTTATACATTAAACGGCCCAGATGCACTTTTTCTTGTATTTTATTTACACTATATGGCCGAAAGTATATGGACACCTCACAATCACAACTATATGAGCTTGTTGGACATCCCAATCTGAAACCATGGGCATTAGTATGAAGTTGCCCCCTCCACCCCTATAACAGCCTCCACTCTTTGCCCATTCAGTCAAAAAAGTATTTGTGAGCTCAGGCACTGATGTTGGATGAGAAGGTCTGGCTTGCCATCGATGTTTCAGTTCATCCCAAATGTGTTCAGTGGGGTTGATTTCAGGGCTATGTGTGTCTTTGTCTGTAGCATTAACGTTACCCTTCACTGGAACCAAGGGGTCAAACCCAAACTCTGAAAAGCAGCTTCAGGCCATTATCCCTCCTCCACCAAACTGTTGGCACAATGCATTCTGGTAGGTAGAGTTCTAATGGCATCAGGCAGACCCAGATCATCCATCAGATGGCTAGATAGTGAAGCTTGATTCAACACTCCAGTGAACGCGTTGCTGTTGCCCCAGAGTAAAGGTCTGCACTCGCACGGATTTCTGCGGGACCCGTGGTACCTGCCACAATATTTTGCGGCGCGGGACTAATTTTCAGCGCAGGAACAGGCGGGAAACCAGCCCACTTGCAGGTGGGAGCTGGCTGAAACATGAAGAGAAATGCTGCAAATTAATAAATAGCCTAAATAAAGTAGAATGATCACGAAATCATATATTTATACAATCCAAAATGATAACAGTAAAAAAAAGTTCAAATGAATGAAGTCGTTCTAAAGAGTTGTGAGGCAACTGATGATGTGAACAACATGCAAATTCTTGTAGCTTACAGAGATGGTGGAGCCTTCGGTCTGACTGCCAAAGCTGCCAAGCCCAGCGTAACCCCCAAAATTATCGTTTTGTGGTTTAATTCTTGCCTTGTGTTTTCTGGGAACAAGTGGCGTTTTGTTAAGTTACTTCACAGTGAGTCTGATGACCACAACTGCTGTGTTATTTCAGCAGAGAATAATGTATTTGTGAATAGACTATGTCAGATATTGGATGTCAGTTCACCTTGATGGAACTTTGTGGGCGGGAGCAGGCCAAATGATTTCAGTTTTCTGCAGGAGCGGGTGGGAGTGGGACGAAATCTTGCAGGAGACCTCTACTTCAGAGTGCAGTGGCAGCGTACTTTACACCACTCCTGCTGACACTTGGCATTGAACATAATGATATTTACTCTTGTAGAGACAGACTAATCTTGTACCGAGAATACACTTTTGGTGCTGGATTGTGGGGAAATCCACCTCAAATAAGGGTATGCCCCCTCTAAAACCCACCCCCGAATCCTTCACGTGGATGCTCTTTTAATGTCCAGAGTATAATAAAACGACCAAAGCAAGCTAGCTAGCGCAATGCTATCACCTCCTCATGTTCATTTGAACATTCAAATGAGTGTTTCTCAAAAGCCCTTCTGTTTCATTTTGTTAGAGGTGTACTTGACACACAAAATCTTTTCAGTGAAACCACTTCAAATGCTTTGCTTGAAGACATTGACTCGAGGAAAGAGATTTGGCTTGTTTGCCAACAGGATGTGGTAAAAACTGAGTTTACCACCCCTGGCCAGCTGTGTGAAACACAAATATTTGAAGCACAAATTGGTGGTCTTGGTTATATTTTACATTACTGTCTGTAACAGAGGAGCAAGGTCTTTTTTTTAAAATGCAAAGTGAATTTCAGCTGCATACGCAGGTCACAGCACAGAAGTTGAAAACAAAGTAGCTTCAGGCGAATTCACACAGACTTATTCCGTCAGCAGCTTGTTGGAATATCTGTAGACGAAGTTCATGCCATTGCTCAGTGGTGAGTACATGTGTGTATTATTAATGTTGTATGCTGCAGATAACCGGTGCTGCTTTCGCACACTTCTTAGTGGGTGTGACGGTACGTAATTTTTACGTGATTACAAATCCGAGATCTCGTTTTTTTGTCAACATCATTGCCAGTTGTTTTCAGTTCTTTTCTCCAGATTTGTTGTTGCAACTGTGAACGACAGAGGCCAAATACAGCTGCTGGTAACCCATCATCAATTTTTTTTTTTTTTTTACTGTTTGCCCAATGATCAGTGTTATCTTCTAAATCTGAAGTATAATCTGGTTTAACCATTTTTTTTTCTGCTGCAGGAAGTCATGTTTCATTTATCCACATGTAATGTTCTCCGCACATGAACACACATCTACGTGCATAACTGAAGGTTTTGGGGGGACTTTTCAGCCACAAAATTGATTGAATAACATAATAAAGCACTGATTAGCCAAACAAGGTATTGGATGATAACTACAATTAATACTGCTGCTACATAGAGAGGTTTGAACATTGACATACATACAATCACTACTTATGGTGGTGATGTTATTTATGATAAACTAATATTAACTAATATTAGAATATGCGGAGGAAGTTAATGCTAACTGCCCAGATAAATTGCTTTTAAATTCTGATATTCACAGGAAGTCAGGGCTGTTTACATGCTTTAATAAAATCTTTTGTTTAAAAAAGCAGGCAAAGTTTCCGTTTTCCATGATATGGGCCTTTTTCCCTGATCAGGACTAGTCTAGTCACTATCAGCACTGAGGCCGCAGGAACCTGCCTAGAGACACTGCAAAGTACATGCATGACGTGCTTAACTAATGTACCAAATCTGACTTTATCTCCCCTCACATCTCCTCACAGTGGCTGATACATTGTAGATATGACTTAAAATGACCCGACTGTCTCTTAAAGGAGGAAAAAAAGCAATATTGTGCAACTTCGATGACATTCATATCTCATTCTCATGTACTCGAGTATTTCATCACCAAGTGTTACTGGAACTCTTCTGTACTTCAATTACACAATCTAGTCTAGAGTAGAACCTAATAAAATATTAAACAGATTAAATATGTTGTTGATTAGTTTGCCAGGGGGATTACTTTCTGCCTGTTCACATTTTAATATGTCAAAGAATGAAGAGATAAAGTGAAGTCGCACCGGGAGAGACGGAGGTGATTTTACTGGGAGGCATCAGTGTGTTTACTCATATATTCTGGAATGTTGCTCTAGTATCTGTTAGTGAGTTTTACTCTTCTTAATGTATTTAGTTATTCATGCAGGGAAAACCCAGCTGACACAGTTCTTCCTATCAGGGCCCTCTCTTGCAACCGATAACACAAGTATAATAAAATTAATAGCTAAAATCAAAAAGTAGACTATTGAACTGTGTGTTGTAATCTGTATTTTATGTGACTGATTTTGGTTTCTGCTCAAGTCTCTGGCAAAGCTTCCAGAGAGTGGATTAGACTGCCCCCTAGTGTGGTAAAGTTGGTAATCCTACTTTTTCCTAAATTCAAGCATGTAGGGCATTTTCTGATACACATAATCATATTGTTGCTTGCGGAACAAAACCTTGTGTCTCTCTCTACTTTTCAGGAGGTTTTAAAATATTCTTAAATTTTAATGTAGGTTAATATTATGAGATTCTATTCGAAGTAAATTTTAACTATTTCTACTGGTCTCTTCATTGTGACATATTTTCATACTATGTAATGGGCATCTAGCATTTTCAAATACTGTAAATAAATAAATAATTGGGTCTGTCTATTTATGTAAAGCCTTGTTTTTTGCTAGCCAGATCAAGCTTTGGAGCTGAAAAAATCCACAGCTGTTCCTCTCCATCCTTCCAGCTCAGCACTATGGGTCTGAAAGGATGTATAGCTGTTAAGAAGCTGTTAAAAGCTAATGAACACAAAAGAAAAAAAAAAGTCAAAGAAAGAAGCCACTGGTGTTCCCAGAACAATGGAATGATCACCCCAGAGTCCAGACATCATCATGAACTTGTACAGTAATACATTAAAGGAATAGTGCAGCATTTCAGCCTAATACACTCAGAAAATAATTATTAAACTCTCACTAGGGTGGTAACCTTAAGGGAATGTCTTAGGTACCTTTAGTTAGGGAACATTATTGTACCATATTTCATTGCAGTTTTATTTTTTAGTTGCGTTAATTTCATGCACCATGCCTGACTCCAGTCTTTTTTTCAACTTAAAGTTACATTTTAAAAAGGTAACAGTTTTTTTAAAAACAAACTACTTAAGAAGAAACAGAAAGAGAAACCATTGGTTAAATCAACAAAATAAGGTGTAGCATAAAAAATCAACAAAATAAGGTTTAGCATAATGCATTAGCATTCTGTCAGCTACCTGTTGCTATGCAGTTTATAATTGTTGTTTTACAGACTCTCCACTTTTTATCCAAATCTTTTTATTTTATGATACATGCAGTTGTTCAGTGTTCTAGATTTAACCATGGTACTACGCTATGCTTAGAAAACCACACTGTAATCAGGTCTGGGGACAGAACATGAGAGGGGAATCTGAAAATGACAGTTGTGATGTGGCAGGACAAAAAAAAAGAACATCAAATCTACAGTAGATCTGTATGACAGTAGCCTCACTTTTCAGGCAGGAGCTCTTCACCGAAGATTTACATATTTAGGAAATCTGTCTGCTCATGAATCTTCCCACAGAATGCAGCACATCTGTAAAATGCAGCCAGTATATAATGTAGCATGCAAGCCCTTTTACATTAATCTCTGTAGCCTTTCACTTTTTTGCTGTTTGACACTATAGAAGCACGTTACAAATAGTGGGTTCAGTGGGGGATGGTGTATGTATGACTCTGGCCTGATTGTAATGCAGTTTATGGTCAGTAACTGTAATGTATCATCACACTGCCCCCACTGTATAGGGGTCCTGCAGAACTAATCAAGATCTACTGCAATAGAGCATAGCCCTGAACTGCTGTGTTGCACATTTTCACACCAAAAAATATCTGAAACAGGCCACTGTTGAGGGTGTAATGTAGATACGTGTGCACAGCTCTTGACGAAAGTACAGACCCAGTGTGCCTTAACCTGATTATCTTCCATCTCACCAGTCTTACCCTCTCCTGTCTTAACTCTGCTGCAGGCCAAGCGTCTGGTGGAGCTCTGGTGGTCACAGCCATGCACCCCTTCACTGGCCAGCAGCCAGGGGACCTGAGCTTTGCGGCTGGAGACCGCATCACCGTCCTCACCAAGACAGACTCACAGTATGATTGGTGGGAGGGAGAGCTGAGGGGGCAGGTGGGCATTTTCCCTGCCAACTTTGTGTCCTACTGAGAGCGCTAATTCAAAAGCACTTACACACATCTTGAGGGTTTATGGTTCAGACTCCAAAGGGAAGGGGTTTTTTTCCCCCATTTTTCTACAACAAGCTGGCGCTGGTGTACGCTCAAAGGTCAACTTTTAATGAACGAGGTTTTCAGTGTTAACCTAGTGGTAGAAGTATATTATTTCCTTTTTTGAAGGTTCCTATTGAAGTCTTTATTATTACTTATTATCTGACTAATATAAGCATATGATCTTTTGACAAGTGTATTTTAAGGTTGGTTTAGAGTTTGATTATGAGTTTGGTTCTGTGTTTGTTCATGTTGCACACTGGTGTTTGGTCACAGTTTTGTACATTTTTTTTGAAACTGTTTTTGTTCTTACTGATTTGCAAGCTTTAATTCAATCATAGATTTAGGAATCATGGTGAAAGGGGCAGACAATAAACAAAGAAACTTGATAACTGCAAATGATGGAAAAAAATGCAGCGATAAAGTGAACAGATTTTTTTTTATGTAAGTAGAGCGACAGTAGCTGATTCTGAAAGCACTTCATTCATCGTTTAGTATATTCATCGATTATGTAGTCTTGTCATTGTTGACTTTTCTTGCCTAGTGTACCGTTAAAGTGAGATATATGACAAGACTGGATTTGCTGAGTTTTCATGCTGGGTGCGAGTTTTGCTGAGGATGCATCAAGTGATTGTTCCACTACCAGTATCATCTTCTAGCTTCATGCACCTGTTAGTTTGAATGTACTTTAATGAAAATATGACATCATTTTATCACATCAAGTTGCATTAATTCTTTCTCTTTACTGGCAGAGATGTTGAGCAGCACATGAAAAAACAAGCATAATACACAACTTTCAGATAAGTCTCAGCATCTAATGTGCCCCATTCCTCCGGTTTTGCTGTGCTTTTTAATACTTATTGTAGAAAATGAGAAACATTACACTGGGTGTTATTAAATTGTTAATCAAATGGAAAATAATATATTTATCATGTTGAGTGATTCTAATAAATATTATTGAATGACACGTGAATCATTTATGAAGTTTCATCACTTGCAATGTTTGTAAAGTGCTTGCTTCACCTTTAATCACACCCCCTCCCAAACCTCTCCATAAATCTTTGAAAATCAAGCTTTGGCCATTCATCCAGTAGTAGAACTGTTAACATTACTTTCCCACAAGAGGGCAGACAAAGCACAGTCCCAATACAGATGGTGGAGGACCAAGTCAGCAATGCTTCACTTGCAGTCCAAATGATCAAAACACTGCAAAGCTTCATGCTTTCTCTTTTTTAAAAGCTTTGTTCGACTCATGAATGGCTAACTAAAGATGTTCCTGTGGGCATATATTATTGTTTGATTTTCAATGTTTTCTGTGCCAAAATGTCTTGATTTTTCAGAGCCAAGTATTAGATATGTCGTTGTCCAAAAAAGTGATCATATAAAACAGTGCTGCTGAGCTGTAAATAATGACAATCTATAGAATTTGTTTTTCAGAAAAAGTCATTTGAGCATTGATGAGTCCATAGCATAACCCTAGCATAGTTGCTAGAGCAAGGAAACCACTAGATTAATGCTGTGCTTTCACAGTCAGTTTCTCCTACAAATCAGCACACAGGCCCTGAATGTTTTAAAACTTATTTCAAAACCGAGAAAGCACATCATTAAATTAAATTATTCTTCAAGATGTTACACAGCAAGTTAACAGGTAAGTGAACACAGCCAATGATCATTCTCACCATAAAAGCTCTTATTCTTCAGTTTGGTAGGCAGGGACCTTAAAGGAATGGTTTGGTGAGAAATCCAATTTACACCATTTTCCCCTTACCCAGTTGTACTCATTCGGCTGAGACATCTTTGAAGTCCAAATTTTGCTTCTTTAGTTTAGAACTGGAGCAGCATGGCTCAATTTGCTAACAAACACTAGAACTCAATAGTCATCCAAACAGCCCAAATAAGCTCTGTAAAAATAAATCACAAACTTTAAACTGCTAAAACTACATCCTGGCCTTTATTAAGATTGTGCAGACTTGTAGATATTGTTCAGGAGACAGTGTGACTTACTTTGAGTTATAAAAAATCATCAAAACTTTAGACTTAATAAAATATTCCTTTTATTAATTCCTTTGATATGTCAGTTCACTTGGATGCTTACGATTAGACTAATTGAAGGGAAAGAGGTTCCAGAATTTTCCCACTGCATTTCCATTTTATTTGGTGCACCGGCCTTCTATCTATAATCACTGCCCATTTTATCAGGTATACTTGTTACTGCACAGTTTATCAACCCCCTTCTACCTCGTCCATCGTGGAACAAGACCATCGTCTGGCTTCAAAATGCAAAATGTCCTATCAAACCAAACTGGCTGCAGTGCTTCATTAAGTTTTTTGAGTAGACTACAATATCATGACTATCAAACCTCCTGGATGTCTCCAACCCAAATCTTTCACACCTTATTCATCTGATCAACAACTTATGAATGTAGTAATTGCCTGGATTACGGTTGGAGCCAAACTCTGCAGGAAGGTAGATCTCCTGGAGCAGGGTTCGTGACCACTGCCATAGAACATTAGGCAAAGAGCCCCAACTCAGTCCTGGAGCTCTAACGTTCTGCAGACCTTGAGTTGCAAGCCAAATGCACTTGATTCAGTTAATCAAAGTCTTGCATCAGGATATTAAGCCCTGTTGTAGTCAAGGGGCGAAATACAGGGGGTCATGGGGGTCTGGGACTCCCTATTTAACCCCTTGGACCCCTTGGATGTGTCAGTCAAAATTGTGGGGGGTCCCTGTAAACCACAAATGGGAACTGTGTGTTTAAATATTCTTAACTAACTAGAGACGCACTGCTAATGTGCCTCAGGGTGGTGCTGTACCATATTGGTTCACTCAGTTGGTACTTCATAGCTAAGCAACTATGTCCGGGATACCTCTGAAAAACTTTGATATGTGAGGAAGACCACATTACCAAACTAGGAAAGAGCATTTTCAAACAAAGAAATGTTAAAACAAACATTTTGTTGACATTAAAGCTAGCATCAGTGCAGCTACGGCGAGTCAGCAGGTAGGAATAGTCACTGGAATAGCCAGCCAACGTGGGACCCATTGAAAACCAGGGAGTACTTTGCACCGATTGTATTGTATTATAATGTAAATTCACCAGCACCGGAGCTGGGAACTCCTGGATTAGGCTGTGTGAGATGCGCATTTGAAGATTTGTAAATAATGGAAAAGCACATTTCTACATAAACATATTGTGAAAACATCAGTAACAGCTCTTAAGGGTTGTGAGTATTGTGAATTAATTTCATATTTCACCGGATATTTCAGTATGCAGTCTTAATAATTAGACTTAGAAACTCCAGATGGTTACAAATGTCTTTATTCTCTAAAGCAAATGAATGGTAGAAACAAATTCATAAAAATCCAAGAAAGCCAGAAAAATGGGTGCTCATACAAAAGAGCTGAAAAACAGCTTACAAATGACTGTCAAATAAAAGTGTGCTGTACCTTACTAAAGATAAGGATTGTAAGTCTTAAATAAGCCTTTCAGGACCACTGACATCATACGATTTTATAAAGGCTTATTCCAACATGGGGCAGTTTTCATAAAAGCTGCTTCTGTCTATTGTGATTTCATTTCAACAACAAGTGTTATGACCAATGGATGCTTTTTGGAATAAGACATTATGAATGGCTATATAGTTTTGTCATTAAATGCCTATGTAGGTGTTGTCCAGCCAAACAAACGCTGTCCTTCAGTACAGTGTTACCCAAAAGTGTATGTGATTTTCTAAGACATTCTGTGGCACTTGGTGTGGTGTGGTGTTTTATAAGACATTTTATTAGACATTTATTGGCACTTGCGGTATCAAACAACTTGAAGAAAGGGCCTTTGTAGTAATTCCAGCATCATCCTCAGGCATGCAGCACATGTATCTGAGTTCACCAAGAGTTCTCACCAGGGGAGAAGTTTTTCCAGGACATTCTTCATCTCCAGGGTAAATTCATTCTGTCTTTAAGCACTGAAGTGTTTAACTTTGTCATTTGAAGAGCATTTGTTCTGCTGGATATCAGAGGCACACAAAAATCTGAGGTCTAAAAAAAGTCTGTCCTGCAGTTCAAAGTACAACTACTTTTCAGGGCCTATACATTTTAGAAACATCTCACAAAGGACGATTATGAAGGGCGTATGGGAGTTTCTAACCAATGTAACCCCCACTCCTGGAAGGAATCATTGGAGTAGACCTGTTTTGCAGAGGATGCCTCATAAAATTCATGGGATTTGACTATGAAGAAATGGCACTGGATTCCAATTGGCTCTCCAAGTCTTTTGCCTTAGTGAAGGCATGTTCCTTTTTTGGTTTGTGATTTGTTGACCACCTATCAGAAGAAACAAAACCACATTAATCATTTAACAAACTGCATAAATAAAGATACAGTGCATGCTAATGTGGAGAAGTCTGTACAGTTAATTTAAAAACTGGAGCAGAACTTGTTTTCTGAACTCATATAACACTATGAGGATTGCAGGCACACTACTGACATGTCAGGTTTTCAAAGAAAATTTCACCCCTTTGCCCCCTACCACTGAGCCCTTAGCCCTCTGTTCATGTCTAGGGTTAGGGTGTCCCAATTTTTGTTGAGATAGAGGGGTAGGGCGAAGTGTTAGGGCTACATGGCCTCTAAACGGAGGTTTTTCAGAGGCACACTCCAAACAGAGGTTTTTCAGAGGCACACTCCAAACAGAGGTTTTTCAGAGGCACACTCCAAACGGAGTCTTATGAGAAAAAAAAAAGAAAAACCGGCAAGATGGCTGCGCGAGCGACCAAAGAAACCCACAAATGTGAGTATTTTCTTCGCTTTAAAAAAAACGATAACCATCGTATTATCTTAGTTTCAATGTCGTTTCAATGTCTTATGGTCGTTTTCATTACAAGCATAAAATATTGCCAATAGCATGCTAATGTCTCGGTAGCTAGCTAGCTAACTTTCCCATTCCACCTTAAATAGTCCAGCAGTTCTGACGGCTGAAGCACCAGAATGTAACTGCTGCACCATTAAAGGTGGAACGGGAAAATTCGAACAAGAAGCTGGTGAATAGCCGACTTCAGCTTCGTATCACCGAAGAATTAGCGGTGAGCAATAATAAATAATTGTCTTATCCCCCCTCTTTGAAAGCATACGATGCCCTAAATGTAACTAAAGCCCACCAGTGAGGTTGCTGAACTTTTCCCTTCTCTGCTATCGCTGAAGATGGGCCGGGTCGCCTACAGAGCACCGCTAGTAGCCTGTTAATGAAGCAATGTTTTTTTTTATTTTATTTGAGGGTTGTCCTATTTCGTAGGACAAGATTTCAACCACCACCCATTGTAACTCAGTCCTAAGGGGTTAGGGTGACACTCAAAAAACAAGGGGTAGGGGTAAAAAGAAGAAATGGGATTGGGCCTAAGTCTGATAGGCAACCAATGAGTGACCTTAACAAGAAATGTTTAATCAGAGCAGTCAAGCTTACCACAAATTCACCACTATGAAAAAAACCCTGGTATTTGAGGGATCCAATGCTGGAGGGATACTCTAGTGTTGGCTCGCTGCTAACTTACTTGCCATAGCGGTGCTGATGCTAGCTTCAATGGCAACAATTGGTTTAACAATTCTTCTTTTGGAAATGCTCACACCTTGAGATCTTACACATCTCCTCTTTTGTCTTTGTTTAGAGAACAGTTCACTTTTTCCACCAAACTCTTGGCAAACTGGGGAAGTTTTCATATTTACAAACATGGTATGGCATATTGTAAAGTTTTTCTGAGGTATCCTGGGCATATTTACAATTGCTAGGCTATGAAGGACCAATTGGGTGAACCAATTTGCAACAGCACCACCCTGAGGCCACATCTCTAATTAGTTAAGAATATTGAAGTCAGAGGTGCAGCATTTCATGGGTGAAGCAGCTAAACAATGAGCTTTCCCAGAAACTGAATTTGAATTTAAGCAAGTATTTTGGACAGCTTAACGTCATAATACGCTTATTTTCAGGGACCCCCCAGAATTTTGATTTTGAGACATTCGGGGGTCTAAGCAGTTAATTAAGTGGTTGAGGGGCTATATTTCACACCTTGCTTGTATGCTACTTTTGCTCACATCACTAACTCTTAGTTAAAAGAATAAACTTAAGGGTTTACTTGCAGGAAATACAATACTTATTATTTTTCCCCTCATGCTTTAACCCGGCTTGCTATTTGTAGTGTTGCCTGTCTTGTCACCTCCTCAGGGAACTTTGGTAAAATACTGAGAGGTTTCATGGTCGTTCCATGATCAAATGTTTCATATTCTGCCTGTGCCAACTTTGAAAATGCATTGCTAGACTCTGTCATATCAAAAATCAACTGCTGTGGCTAGCTCTGTACTCCTGATCGGATAGACTGTTCCTGTTTTTGAGTTTGGGAATGGGCAACCTCAGGGTGGTGCTATTGCAAATTGGTTCACCCAGTCAGTGGTTGTGGACAGACTGTTTCTGTTTTGATGGGGCTAGGTTAATGAATAGTTGCTGATAGACCATTGCTGTTTGTGAGCTTGAAGGGGCTGAGGTAGTAGGTTGTTAGTTTATGATCGTACGTGTCCTGCTCTACTGTGATTCCTGGGAGTGCTGTATCTGTTTCAAACATTCCCAGAAATGTCACTGGTATGTTTTTTCTTTGCTTTGTTCTCTGAAATGGCTTTTAAAAAAGCATGTTTTCAAACCCTGAACTTGAGGCTTCTTTGTGCAACAGGGAAAATCCTTCTTAAGGTGTTATATGCAGCCAGCCACTGAACAATAAGATAGTGGGTATTGTGGTGTCTCCCCATGTCTCTACATGGCCTAATCTGGACTGGCTCAGTTTAGCTCCAGCTCCACCCATTCATAACCATACACCTGTAGCTTATTCCTTCACCCAGTTGCTCACACAGATATATTGTTTGAGACATTGTTTGAGTCTGCTGATTGTAAAGTTTCTGGTTTGATAATTGAGCTATGTTCCTTACATCTGTTCTTTATTCTTGATGTTGACTGTTGCTTTGTTCCTGGATTTGATTATTGTTTGATTATATTTATCTTAACTGATGACTGGATTGCCCCATATAAAGATATTGTGAGCTCGTATCCTGGCGCAATTTACCATTTGTTACAGAGTTTTGTGGGGACAATAAGATGCTAGATTTCAGATGTTATGGTTTAGTGTCTGTGACATCACTGTATGCTTTAGGAACTCATCTAAAATGGTTTTAAATTGTTATTTGCTGCTTGAGTGCTGCTGTAAAACTATTTGCTGAGTGTAGTCTCCCTCAGGGTGTCTGCTTTGGATTGGTTTTATATCTTTTATTTAAAAAAAATAATAGAATATATATATATATATATATATATATATATATATATATATATATATATATATATATATATATATATATATATATATATGGCTTCTAGTGATTCCATCTCACACAACTCTGACTGTGACCTTTTTAATAGAGAGCTCCTAGACGCTTTAGAACAAGTGACTAAAAAAAAAAGGTATGGGTGAGCTAAAACAGATCTGGTACAGATCTCAATATAGAGCAGCTCATCTAACACTGCAGCAGAAAATGAGACTCTTGCTAGACCAACGGGCCTGCAAGTCTCCAAACCAGCCACACTCAAGGCTCAAAAGAAATAAACTTTGACTGTTCATCTTCACTTTTAATAATATTTATGCACCAACTCTGTCAAAGTTAACATTCATATTTTTGTAGATACTATTATATAAGTGCAGATGTTACCAGTGATAGTTTCCAAACAGTTATGAAATAGCTGAAGTTAGAAGAAGGACCACATCTGAAACTCCTGCTCGTCCTAGCTAATTATCCGTATATTCCCAACTTGTCCTTTTATTTTTGCACCTCATTACCTCTCTACTGTCTTCCAGTTCTTCCTGACATCTAGATTTAAACAGGAAATCCACCAATTTTTCAAAATTTCTGAATAATTCAGTCCTTGTGATGTAAACAGTCTCATTCAGAGTGGTTTGATGTGAAATGCTTCAATGTAGAGATTCTGACTTCTTAACAGTGGTTTTGATAGGAACCAGGGGTAACAATGTCTACAACACAAATATATTTTTACATTTTTTTTACTGTCCAAAACCACCAGTAAACCTACACGTGTCTTCTGAGTTTTACATGTAATGTTGATTATGGTAATAATTTCATAAATCTGAAAAAATAACCTTCCTTTGGGGACTATTTTGCCTTAAAACACTGCGTGTACCCCCCATTTATTTGGATTAAAATAAATGAATTCAAATACATTTTAAGCCAAAACTTTATCACAAACTATCGTAAAACAATATATCAGACATCTACTTCATGTAATCACTTTCTGTGAGGGAGCTTTTAAAGATGACGTCTGGTTCTTATCACCACCACTGTGAACAATTCCGACTCGGCAAGTTTCTCTAAAACAGATCATTTCACACTACGCCACTCTGCATGGCTTTGTTTACATCTCAACCATTTATATACATTGGTGGAGTTCCCCTTTAAGGCGCATCTGTGCATTCTGTGTGTTTTTAAAAAGTAAATCTCAATTGTATCAAGTAATTGAATCACATTGAATTGTGGTGAAATTTGACATCTCATGAAGCACTGAATTGTTGCCTAAAGAATCATAATCAAAATGAAATCATGGGGAGGTCACAGTGATTTAGTATTGAATAAAACAGTGTCTCACTGAGCACAGCAGGATCCCAGCTCCAGCTTCAGCCTGGGTTGTTTCTCGCAGTCCTGGACTGTGTCCGGTAAAGGAATGCCGCTGGTTTCTGGGAGCAACAAGCACAGCCCTGCCCCCAGGATGGGTCCACTGCTGTAACAGATCATGGCTCCCAGAGAGACTCCACCCTTAGGAGCCACCACTGCATTTACAATGCAGCCCACCCGGTAACATAGACTCACCAGGCCCACACACTTCTGCCTGCAAGACAGAGATTTTTAGCATGTATGTACAAGCTGATGATCAAGTGATTCTGAGAACATGAAGTTCAGTTTACTGCTAACAGTTCAAAAGAAAAATCATTCCCTCCACAAATGTCCATTTGCAAAATTATTCAACCCCCAAAGTCAGTATTTTGTGGCGCAACCTTTACATTTTATAACTAAATGTTTCTGGCAGGTGCTTACAAGCTTCTGACATCTCTCTATTGGAATTTTTGCCCATTCCACATGTGCAAAAGCTTCCAGCTCATAAATGTTACTTGGTTTACATGCCACCACAGCTTTCTTTAAATCCCACCAAAGACTTTCAGTGAGATTTAAGTCCAGGGACTGAGATGGCCACTAAACGACACTCCAGGATCGATCACTGAATCAAGGTTTGGTTGACTTAGTATGTTTGGGATCACTGTCTTGCTGGAAAGTCCAATGGTCACCAAGCTTCAATTTACATACTGAAGTCTTCACATTCTTCTCCAAAATGGCCTTGTACTTCAAAAAATCCATGATGCCAGTCACACGGTCAAGACTGCCAGTTCCTGCAGCAGCAGAACAACCCCTCAACAGGACCGACCCACCTCCATGCTTGACCATGGGGATGTTTTTTTTGTTATAATCTTTGCTTTTCTCACGCCAGACATACCACTGATCCACAGGTCCAAACAGATTTAATTTAGTTTCATCACTTCATAAAACTGTCTCCCAGAACTCCACAGGCCTGTCCAAATTTCTTACTGCATATTCAGGTAAACTTTTTATGTGCTTTTTGGTCAAGAGTGGAGTACAGTGAGGGTGTCCAGGCATGAAGACTTGCTTGTGTAGTGTTTTTCTTATCATGTTCACTGATACGTTTGTTCCTGTTTTCATCAGGTCATACTGCAAGTCTTTGGCAGTAATATGAGGGTTTTTCTCACTGTTCTGTTCAAATGTCTGATTCCTCTTGGTGAAATTTTGCTCTTTCTTCCACATTCAGGTAGGTTTGCTGCTGCACTTTGTAAACTCTTTACTTGTAAAGAGTTGTAAACTTATGTATTATACTTCCAACTGTGTCTCTTTGAAATTTTATTCTTGTAGCCATTGGCATTTTGGATCAGTGAAATAATTTCTTCTCTTAGATTTTGTGAAAGTCTTTTTGTCTTTGCCATGTTTGCTGCTGATCTTGAACACATGCATGGGGTGGGATTCAGATATGTATTGCCAAAGTTGCCAAAGGCTTAATTGTGTTGTAGCTCAATTTTGCAGCCTCACAGACTAGCAGTAATTTAAAAACCAGCAATATTAAATAGGGGTTCAAAAATTATGATGTGCATCTATTAAGAAATAAATCCTTTTACTCAGAAATATGACTGTATAATGGGGACATCCATTACATATTTTCGACTAAATGTGGGTGAGAACAAATGGAGAGTGAAATTTCTTCACCAGCCCAACACCTCGTGAAGGTGGAGTTCAACATAGAGGGCAAGGTCAACATTGTCCAACAAACGACACCACAAAAGGACACCCGTTATCTGCAGCAAACAACAATAATGTTAAAATTACATGGATACATGTTCTTACCACTGAGAAAGGGTAGGAATTTGTCAGCAGGGAGGCCAGGCTTGGTGGACTTAACCTTTACCACATCCTTTTGACAAACAGGCCAAGACAACTCTTTTCACCTGAGTTAATGTATTCAAAAGTGGTTCCACTGAATTGTGCATCAGGAACATCTCTGACAAAACTAAATCGAAAGGCGTTTCTGAAACATTCATTTTGAAGAATGAACATGACGTAACAACAGCATTTGACTAGCTAGCTCATTTTACTTGTGTTATCGATTTACCTCTGGATATTAAATAAGCAATGACTACAAAGACTTGGGGGTGGGTCCTAGAGAGGGTGTACCCTTATTTGTGGTGGATGTCGCTACAGTCCAGCTCCAAAAGTTTAACAGGTTGTATCCAGACGTGTATTTTCAGTACAAGATCGCGTCTGGCCCTGTGAAACTATTCATTAAAAACTAATTAAATGCTTGATGTAAAAGTGCCGTAACATACCTGCATAGTGGAAGGGTATTTTTGCATATAATTATGGACATGTATGTGATACAGGTTAATCCTGGTTGAATATTTAAAAATTAGTTGGAGATTAAGCTCAATTTGTGTAAAGAAAAGGGAAAAACGCCATAAATTGTGATCTCACTGTAGGTTCAGAGTACATTTACTGACAGTCTTCTCTACAAGAAACTGAGCACTTACCTTATAACAGTAGGGAACAGCTCTATGCCGTAGAGGAGAGCAACACAGGTCGTCGCCTGCACACAAAGCTTTCCCAGCAGAGCGAGGGCCATCACCAGAGCGGGTATGTCTGAGGAGACAGCATGAAGAGTTGTGAACGTAAGCTTCAATTTTTTTTAGCTGAGCTATATATAAAAAAGAAAAAAAGATGGTTCTTTAGTAAAGAAAATGATTCTATATAGAACCATGAACACTCAAAGAACCCTTTGCATGATTAAAGGGTTCTTTGTATCATGAAAAGGTTATTCAGATTGGTGGGGAATGTGCATGAATGTGCTATAGATAGTTCTAGGTAAGGGTTCTTCTATTGTGACAAGCTTGACATCGTAACAATAGAAGAACGCTTTTGGTTGCTATCTAGAACCATCTATAGCACATTCTCCATCAATCTGAAGAAACCTTTCATGATACAAAGAACCCTTTAATCATGCAAAGGGTTCTTTGAGTATTCATGGTTCTATAAAGCACAATTTTCTTTACTAAAGAACCCTTGAAGAACCATCTTTTTAAGAGCGTAGTTAGTTTGGCAAAAAAATCAAATGTAAACAATTTTCCCCTTTAAGGCCGACTTTACATGGTGAAACTTTCATGCACCTCAAGTTGCTTAAAACCTACATGAAACTAAATAAAATAAAATAAAAAATAAAAATAAATCCGAGGCTGGCTTACTGGGTGGTAGACTGACTTTATGCAAGGCTGGTAGTTTCATTTCCGTCAGTTACTTGAGCCATAATAACAAATGTGTTTCTCGATGCAAGCATTTCTATAAAAAACTGCTATAATAAAAAATAGGAACTGCTAATTTAGTTAACTAGCGAATTGAATGCGTTGCATGCAGCTTTGATTTGATTTTGTTTTGAATCGCTTCATGAAACTGTCAACACATGTAACTCACAACATGGTTGCATGAAAGTTTCATGTGTAAAGCCAGCCTTACCAAATGTAGTCCATCAACCAAAACATGTTTGGTGTGATATGTGCTTAAGTAGTTCTGCACTGAAACTTCAAGGCTAACATAGATAACAAGAAATGGAATTAATTTGTAGTTGTTAAGGAAAAACTGTGTAAACAGGATTGTTCACCAAACTACCACTTTAAATGGAATGTGCCTCATCCATGGGGTATCCTTTACCACAGAACTTGGAGATGAGGAGAGAGAGCAAGCAGCCAACTCCGCTGAGCAGCAGACTTGCCATGCTGAAGGATCTACGACCCCATCGTGCCAGCAGAAGTGGCAGGAAGAGTGAAGGAGACTCTGACAGCCCCGAGAAGAACTGAGCCAAATAGATATCCACACCAAAACTCCCCACACTGAAGCAGATTCCATAATAGGTGAGGGCAGATGCCACCCTGAGAACAATGAGAACATGAACTAATTCATACAGTGCCTAGAAAAATGTTTTTAATACAAACTAGCATGCTTTAAATTTTGCTTTAAAATAATTTTTATTAAGAGGAAATCAGCACCACATGTGCACATACTTGCGCCAGTATTTGTGATAACAGTACTCTAGTAATAATGCCACAACCAACACATTTTATGACCTTGTGCTGATCTCATCAGCACTCAAACCTTTCAAGTGTGTAAACCACCTTTGGACCAAAACATTTTCAACATGTGCATTTAACTGGTTTTCTGGTTACTGAAAGCAGCACCTATAAACTAGCTGACATGTATTCTGGAGGTGATAGCTCTATTTTGGAAAAGAACAGTGGATAAAGAGTATGTTCTTTTGCTTGTTAAAAAGTAAAAACATGTTAATTTAGAGACAAATAGTCCTTTCTTATCCAAACCCTTCTTATCCTTTATATCACCTCTAAACATTAACAAGTTGTTGAATGATGATGTAACCAGAATCGGTGTTTATCTTTCCATTAACTTTTTCTTGTGTGTTGTCCTCTGTGTACTTGTTTATTTTCACTGGTCTGGCTCATATTGATCAAACACTGGCTAAGGACATTCTTTTGCTAACTGCCAAACTAGGCCTACTATGGAACTGTTCTGTACCTAGCATACCTGTGTTTTCATTTAAATATTTTTTTTTATTTATTCATTTTGTTTTATGTATGTTTGCTTGTTTACTCATCACGTTAACCAATAATGTGGAAAATAAAAATTCTCAAATAATTAGGCAAAACCTACTTTTTTTCATATCAAGGAAGACACTTTAATTTTATGTGGTTTGTGAATTTGGAATGCTAGACTATGTCAAAGGAAATGTCTGCTTTTGCAAAGTCATCAAAGATAAAGGTCTTTAAACATTTTCCATGTACATTGAGGCAATATGCTTAGCCTAGCCTTACAGTTTAGGTTTTAAAACTGCTGGTATGTTTTTCTCTTGACTGTGTATACGTCAGCTGTCCTGTTTCAACTCTTATGTCATCTTCATTTGGCAGTAGGGGTGACAATTGCCACAAGCGGCCAAATGTTTAATAGGAGAGGGTGCTGTTGTTTGGGTTTAAATTAGCCTGCGTCTTGCTATTTTTTTAAGCCAAGTGGCTTGTTGTTAACGTTAAGTTCCAAAAACATGGGAAACCAGAGTGCTTGGTTATTTTTTTTTGCCATATAGTGACATATGCCTACTAAATATGTCTGTCTGAGTAAATCTAGCAGAGCTCAATCTGTTGTAATGCTATAGCTGTGCTATCTGAGGAAAGCTGATGTGATGGTGCATTCATCAGTTAATTTACATTCACTGTGGTACACTAATGAAAAGCGTTGCTGGACAAAATGAATGTATCTTGACTTGACCTGATCTTTCAGCAAATCTCTTTCAGAGATTTTTTTTCTTCAATTCCATTTTTTTACTTGATTGATTTATTATGATATACCAGTTGCAGTGAGTGTTCATAATGTGTGTCTGATGTGATTCTGGTGTGAGTAGGGGGGTTAAGGAGGCCTTACAGTATCAACTCCCAGGGTCTTAATCTGGCACTGGAGAAAACCCTATAGTCCTTTCAGTACTTTATTTACAGCTAATCACAGTAAACTTCACTTAAAAAAAACATGTCTTCATCCCTGCTTTTGAAGGCACAGCCAGTTATCCTGCATAAAAATGATGAGTGGCTGATGCTGTCAGAAATCCTACAAACCAGCCAGCAGAAGTAGTTAAAAAATGCCAGAGCTCTTCCTGAATGAAAAGCGAGGCAGGCCTTATTGGGTGATGATGGAGCTCTCTCTTCTTTGGCACAGGGCTCTTTATCCATCAGTTTCATATTAGCATGATTTGGCTTATTGTTTGAGTTTATGGCACAAATTACATATAAGGACAGGTACAGATAATCTAAATAAAGACAATGTATGTTATAAATGCATCATACGTAATTATTTTGCTTTGTTAGAGACATGTTAGAGTAACACAAATAAGTCATTCTTATTAAGTCAGCAACTGTAATGTGTTACATTACTTTCACAGAATAAAGTATTCACATTACTGTAACGTGTTACCCCCAACACTGTCTGTACACTATAGTCTACAGTGGCTTTAACTGAGTACCCAACAACAAGATAAACAGTTATGTCACTCTGGGTCAGTTATCTACTGAGAAACAATTCGTTTTGTAAGCTTTGTACCAACAACTTAAGCAAGACATTCTTCAGTGCTGAAGGTCATTTCCTCTAGGAAACTGAAATTCCTCAGAAACTATTTCAAAAATCTTGAAAAATAAAAAACTTACATAACAGTACATCAAAGAACAGCTGGGGAAAGTATTTTTTTAATAAATGCAATATAAACACTGAAAGAACTTACCTACCCAATAAAACTCATGACGAACAGACGCAGAACTATAGTGGATGATTTAAAGTGGGTGAAATCAGAACATTGTTTATTATCCGTTTCTTCGTTGTTTGTCTTCTGACACTCATTCCCCACTGTGTCCAATAGCTGTCAATACAAAACAATGCAATTTTGCGATTATGATAAAACGTCTATAGAAATGTAAATCAAACATACAAATTAACTGTAATGTTACAGGAGTTTTTAGAAGATATGTCTATTAAGAAAATGTACAGTCCCGCTCAAATTATATGCTTTGTTGATTGAAGGGAAAATAAGTTAACGCACCTTCTACATGGCAATTTTTGAGCACGATTTCTTTCTATTTGCTGAGTTTAACATACTGGAAAAAAAATCCAAAAATGTAAAATGAACCATAATCTTTGCACATTTTATATAATTTTTCTGACATTCAGTAAATGAACAGTAATTTTCACTTAGAAAATCAACAAAACGTAACTTGACCAGGGGTGCCCAAACTTTTGCATACGACTGTTTATTTCTATAATAGCTTGCTCATCGTCAGAACCCTATAGTCTTTTCTTACCAAATCAAGATAATGCCTGTCCTCTGGACTCCTACTGCGGTAGTCCTCTAAAACGTGAGTCTTCTTATTTAGAAGAAGCCATCTCGGAGATTCTGGAATTGAGCTAAATGTAAATGAAAACATACGCCATTTTTAATTCATAGGAGCAGATATGCATTCAGTGGTGCATGTAATAAAAACTACTGCACATATACTAACAAATAGAGGGGCAGACAGAGTATCTGTGGAAGGGCTAGAGCCAGATGGAACTGCATCCAGCTGTTGGTGAGGTAAGCCACAGCAGCCAGCGCCATCATGCCCAAGCTGAAGATGAAGGAGAGAAGAGTGGTCGGCCAGATACGATACTTTGGTAAACTCCATTCCACTCCTGTAAAAATAGATCATCACATCAATTATTCCATCTTCACCTATGATATCTCAAAACTTTAGAATGTAGGTCTATGTATACAGTATTTACTCAGTATTTACCATTGTCTTAAGAAAAGTTAAGATGGATTATTTAAGTTTTGATGGAATCTGAATTAGTGTATATTGAAGTAATAATAAAATAATAATAGTAATTACACCCAAGTATATTTGTGAGGAAAGAAATCTAGATTCTCTACAGTTACATCAGAGCCATTCATATTTAGTTCCTTTTCATTCTGTTTTAGTGGTAATCACACCTCTCATTTTTAAGACCAAAGGTAACCTTATGTAAATGATTTATAGCAATACTGCACGAAATACAAAAAAAAAATTCCGACAGTCACTATAGTGCATAGTTTTCTATAAGAAACAAGTATTATAGATCGATATATATACTACTGAACAGGGAGGCAAAGCACCTTAGATGCGCTACAGCTAGTCTACAGAAATCTTTTCTTATAGTATCTAAAATGGATCAACCAAAAAGCTAAAAACATTAAGAACTCTCTTATACACTGCCAAATTTGTACAAATGAATTTATTAAAGTTGAACGAATTAAATTATTAATATTTAAATAATGTCATTCAAAGTGGTTTGGTGTAAAATGCTTCATCCTAGAGAAACTTGCAGAGTCAGAATTGTTCACAGTGGTGGTGACAGGAACCAGATGTGAAGAGTTTAATACTGTTAAAAGCTACCCCACAGTTTTGGCCAAAAACATATTTTTTAAACCTGTTTATGGTGAAGAGGTACATGCAGGGTGTTGTAAGACAAACAAGCTCTCAAAGAACCCTTATTTTTCAGATTTACCACTCTTTTACTATTATCAGTATTACACTTAAAAACTCAAACTCAGTGTTGGTTCACCAGCTGTTCTATTTGTGTTCTAGACATTGTGACCTCTGGTTCCTGTCACCATCACTGTAAAGAATCAGTAAGTCAGTGAGAATCTCAACAACCCACGATTTGACATCAAACCACTCTGAATGACTTTGTTTACATCTCAATGATTGAATTATACAGAAATTTTGAAAAAATTGAGAAATTTCCCTTTTAAAACATCTATCATCAGGAAAGTTCGAGCCCTGGTGTTGCTACTGCCATCTGTGGCTGTGAGTCCAAGACAGCACAATTGGCCTCGCTCTCTTTGGGTGTGTAGGATGGCCCTCCCTCTCCCCCATCACCCAGCGTGATGCTAGCAGGCGTCTGTTAGCTGACATAACAGAACTGGTGGTTGGTGCTTTCCTCTGGGCGCAATGAGATTGCGTTAGCGGCAGTTCAAAGAATGCGATGGTTGGTTTCACAGGTCTTCGAAGAAGCCTGTGCTAGCCTTCACCATCCTATTGCTGGTGGTATCATGTGAGTGGGGGGAGTCCTAACTAGTGGGTGGAACTAGATTCATCTAAATTGGGGAGGAAATTGGGAAAAAAGGCTAGGGTTCCCTCTTAGGACAGCACTTTCCAGATACCAAGAGGATAGCAATGGTCCACTGGCTTTTTGTTCAGCATTTTCCAGGCAGCCCACAGGTGGTTAAGCAGAGCATCATCTCTCAATTTCCACTCACTGTTCAATTTACTTATTTTTCCTTCATTTCTTTCTTATGTTATCCTTTGTAAATTATTTTAGTATTTTTTTTAATGCAGCACAGTGTCAGCAATAACATTTTCAACAAAATTTAAAATAATTTCATATTATGTCTAGTCCTTTTTTTTTTTCCCTCAGTTGTTTGTGATATTTGTCTTAGGGTATTTTCCAAAAGGAAAGACTATGGATGGGGGGGGGTTCCAATTTCCTCCCCAATTTAGCTGTATCCAATTCCATCTACTATTTAGGTTGTATCCATTTCCACCCACTATTGCACAATACCACCAGTGTTAGGAGAGGCAAAGAGAAGCACAAATGTCCTCCGGGTCATGTGAAGCCAGCCAATGCATCTTTCTGAACTGCCTCTAATGCAATGTCATTGGACAGCTGAACACGCTTGGAGGAGAACTGTAACTGACATCTACGCTACGTAGCATTATGCTGAGTGACAGGGGGAGAGGTAGAGCCATCCTACCCACCCAGAGAGAGTGAGGCCAGTTGTGCTCTCTTGGACCCTGTTTACACCTGGTCACTTCAAGAATCTTGAGAATCAGGATTATATCTGGATAAAGCCAAGCCACATAAAAAGGAGGCTCACTGGAGCCACATATTATAGCAGAGTAAATGCATCCATCTCTCCGAGACACACTGAACCACCAAAACCCCTACCAGCACAACCGACCCCCCCCCATGCGGCACATCACTTGGCATGTGATCTGTGTCTATGAGGAAGATAATCATGCAGGACGTACATGGTTGGGGGACTGGACGAAACAAAATGCTTAACAGCAATATGAATATACACTACTGTGCAAAACAAACTGCAGACGAAGAGGCTGAACAGATAAACAATTAACTAGTTGCCGTGTAATGATTGAATTTGCATATTCCGTCCCACACAGCAATCAGACTTCAGTCCTACTAACTGGAGACGCATTTGACTTCCAAGTGTAAGACCCGGTTTACACCTAGTAACTTGGTAGTGAAATGCATCTACAGTTAGACTGAAAAACAATTGCTGCATGGGATGGAACATTCAAAACCGCTTGTTGCACAGCAAGCAGTTACCAATTGTTTATTAGTAGTCTGCAGTTTGATTTGAACAGTAGTGTCTGTCCATACTGTCCATGGGGAGGAGTTTTGGTTGTACTGGGAGGAGTTTTGGCAGTACTGGGAGGAGTTTTGGTTGTACCGAGAGGGGATTTGTTTGTTGAATGTGTCTTGGAGAGATGGATGAGTTACATTGTTAAAACAAATGGGTCAAATGTGTCTCAGACCACCTCCTAAAGTGGTTTGAGGGATGAGATTTGTATATGTTTTAAATGTGTCTCGGGTGCATTTACACTTGCATTTTTATGTGAGTTGGACTTATCCAGTTATAATCCCGATACTCAAGATGCATAAAGTGACCAGGTGTAAACAGGGTCTAAATGTATGTGGCTAAAATCTTATCAGGATACAATCCAGATACTAGTCATATAAAAAGGGCCCGGGGATCGAAATCATGATCTCCTGATGACAGGGCCAACTAGGACTATGAGCATTTAAAATCTGTTTGAGTAGACAATATGAGTGGTCCGAAGGTTGACCAGCAGCATAAACTCAGTGAGGTGATTATAACTCATAAAATTTAAACTGAAATGAATAATTACCAACCCAGGCTGTAGGTGCAGATGTGAACGGCACAGCAGGCGATTCCCGCCATGCAGCGCGCGCTCAGGTAGAAAAGCGCGTGGGGGAGAAACGCAGTGAGCAGCGCGACCACCGAGTGAAGAACAGAGCTGCCCACCAACAGGACCTTTTTTCCATACCTGTATATGAGACACGTCCCCATAAATACACATGCTGTTCATTCATCAGCTCTTCATATGCGTTTTAACGGGAGTGAAAACAAGAATTACAGACTTGTCAGATAACGCGCCTCCGAATATGGAGCCAATGAGGAGACCCGTCATGTAGGTCGCTTGTCCGTACGCAAAAGAGCCCTCCACCGTGCACACAGACCCCTACAGACAAACACAGCCGACAACATCAGAACACCAGCTGGGAATTCCTTTTTCACTTTTCTGCTTGAAAACACATCTAAATTTAGCCCTGCACTGAATCCAGTGTGCTACGACTGTTCACTATCACGGACTACTCACGTTTCATGTGATGACTCTGATGTGTAATGTTGCCCTCGTCGGATCCCTGGTTGGAGCTGAAGTTGAAGGTCTGACCCCCCGTGTCCACATGGCAGGATTTGGTTTCGATAAACACGTCGACGAAAAAGAGAAAAGCCGTGAAAAAGATGGGTAAGCTGAGCCTCAGGTACACGTCTCGCTGAAGAGGACCCATACACGCAGCCGCACCGTTAGCCGTTAGCTTGAACTGGGGGAAAGTGCAGTGCCTCAGACAGTGACCTGAAGGAGGACTGCTGAGGGAAGGCGTGTTGTCAGCGTTTTAACCTGAGCTCATGTGGTTATCATTATTCATGTCTAACTCGCCTGTCAAGTGGAGTGTCAGCAGCTCTGCTCGAGGGCAGAAAGCTAGATTTGAGTACAACCTTTAACTGTTTGAAGGTGTTTATTTGTACTTGTAGGCTATAAAGGTGGGAGGTCTTCCTCAGAAATAAGTCGAAGTTAATCACTTGATAACAACTTGAACATGTTCAAAGTTAGCGAGGAGAAAAATTACAAAGGTATTCGGAGACGAAAACAACATTTTACTTCTGGTACCAGTAATTTGCCAGTAAGTTGCCCTTGGCTAGGGCTTAAAGAACCACAACAGCTTCAAGAGGTTTTCAGAAGAACCTCCAGGAAAAACTCTGGGTCTCTCATTTACTTTCTGGGTAAAGTCTTTTAAGATCCTGCTCTTGTTGACAGTGAGTAATGAACTGTAGTATTACCTTTAGATTCAAATCCTCAGAATTTGGGCATTTCACTTGGGTTTTAGCTTTTTCAGCACAAGATGACCACTTGAACTCATCAACTGTGTGACTAATGACTGGTTTGTTTTAGATATCAGAGGACAAGAAGAAACATGCTGAGATGTTACTCTCATAGTGTAGATCACGGTTTCTCAACCACTGGGCCGCGGACCACGAGTGGGCTGCGAAGCACCCCTTCGTGGTCCTTGGACCTATACTGAGGAGGGCCAGTGGTCTATAGTGGGCCTGTGATGGCGCTTTGTCATAAAAATTAGTGAAAAAATAAGTGACTTAACAATAAAAGAGAAACATACACAGATCAGTCATAACATTATGACCACCTCCTTGTTTCTACGCTCATTGTCCATTTTATCAGCTCCACTTACTACATAGGTGCACTTGGTAGTTCTACAATACAGACTGTAGTCCATCTGTTTCTCTGCATACTTTGTTCGCCCCCTTTTACCGTGTTCTAAAGTGGTCAGGACCCCAGTGGACCCTCACAGAGCAGGTACTATTTGGGAGGTGGATCATTCTCAGCACTGCAGTGACACTGATGCAGTGGTGGTGTGTTAGTGTGTGTTGTGCTGGTACGAGTGGATCAGACACAGCAGTGCTGCTGGAGTTTTTAAACACCTCAGTGTCACTGCTGGACTGAGAATAGTCCACCAACCAAAAATATCCAGCCAACAGTGTCCTGTGGGCAGCGTCCTGTGACCACTGATGAACGACTAGAGGATGACCAACACAAACTGTACAGCAGCAGATGAGCTATTGTCTCTGACTTACATCTACAAGGTGGACTGACAAGGTATGGGTGTCTAATAGAGTGGACAGTGAGTGGACACAATGTTTAAAAACTCCAGCAAACCTGCTGTGTCTGATCCACTCGTACCAGCGCAACACACACCAACACACCACCACCACATCAGTGCTACTGCAGTGCTGAGAATGATCCACCACCCAAATAGTACCTGCTCTGTGAGGATCCATGGGGGTCCTGACCACTGAAGAACAGGGTAAAAGGGGGCTGACAAAGTATACACAGAAACAGATGGACTACAGTCTGTAATTGTAGAACTACAAAGTGCACCTATATAGTAAGAGGAGCTGATAAAATGGACAATGAGTGAAGAAACAAGGAGGTGGTCGTAAAGTTATGCCTGATTGGTGTAAAATGTTTTCAGACAGTTAACATCATTAATAAAAGACCCATAATAACACTGAACAAAGGCAGGTTCTTCTTTTTTGCCCTTTGCCTCTAGAAACACCTGACCTTTCAATTGTCCACTCACATCAGTATTATGCTGATATTTTGTGTTCACTGATACACATCACATATTGCAAGAGTAGGCCCCCACAAATCACAGCGTTGAAAATTTCTCCAAAAATGAAAATTTTAAGCAAAATTGTTGAGTTTTGTTTTCTTGTGGGCCTTCCTGTTTTCTAGCGATAAAGAGGTGAGCCTTGAGGTGGAAAAGGTTGAGAACCCCTGGTATAGATCACTGTTTCCCAATCCTGCTCCTGGAGCCACTGCTTTTCCCTGCTCTGCACCCACTTCAGCTCTGTAAGGGGATGTTAACGAGCTGAAAGTGTGTGGTGAGCAGGGAAAACACTATAAAGTGCAGGACAGTGTGCCTTCAGGACCAGGGTTCAGAAAAACTGGTACACTTGTTATACAAGCAACCCGTCTGAACCACATGAAAATGTCTATTACATTAACTAGTTGCGGATTCACTTTGTTCTATTACACTTCACTTCCTTCACAAATGTACAGTAATATTCTCACTGGAAGATTTATGTAAGAACTGCTAGCATTCTTCAGCCCTTATATTTACTCTCTCTCTATCTCTCCATAGTGATGTGTTCTCTATATTGATCCACAAAGCAGCAAATGCCTCATTACACCAGCCTTATTACATTCCTAAGAAGCAACAATTTCAGTTACACAATTCTCAGCATGAGCAAAAGGACAAGTCTGAATCCTTTAAAGCCACACATGGCTAACAAAGAAAATGAATAAGTCCTATTAGAACAAGGTTTGTTTACTTATTCCCTATTGCAGTAGCTTCATGATTGGGATCAGTTGTTTATTGGCAGTAATGAAATGTTGCCCATGTTATGGTGTTACACAAGTCAGTTGGCAGACTTGGAAAGCAGAGTATGTTTGCTGCATTTAAGAAATGAATGGCCTGTCAATTGCAAATACTTTATTTACGTATTATGTAGTTTTGGATACTAGTGTGTTGAATTATTTTATACAGCTTAGAAAACACCAATGTTCTTTACATTTGACTATTTTGGTGTTATCTACTTTAGATAAGATATATTTAGGACTATGTAAGTCTGATGTCTGGAAAAAAAACAGCACAACAAGCTGTTTATGTAGGAACATAGTGACTTTTATGACACAGTAAAGTATTAAGCTGAGAATATTTTCTACTGATCTAATACCTAAGCAAATGATACTATTTCAAGTATTTCTATATTATTTGGTGAATAAAAGCTCTGTATTATTGTATATATTGACATCTTCCTGTGGAAAGTGTAAGAGCTTTATTTCTTTACGCAACAGCAAAAGGCGAAAGGTGAGCCCTTTGTCCTGCAGGGAGGTGTCCGAAGATGCTAAATAATAATTAAACTGGACTCTGCACTTTTACTCTACTGCCAAACAACATGAGACATCATAAAACACCCAAAAACGTGACCCTGTCTTTGAACTTTAAGGCAAAAATGATTGGCTTACTATTTCTGGAGACATGTATTTGATTTATTGACTGCTTTTAAAGACATTCCCTTGTAGCTGCTAAAGAATACAATGAAACCCAACTCAGTAAATAAATATGACTTTTATACATGCTGTTGGTATCATCTTTAATATAACAAATCACAAACACAAAATATGCAACTGCTTTTGCTTACAATGAAGAAAATGTTAGAAATCAGTACAGTTAAGATCTTTTTTCCACCATTTAGCCTTTTTTTAAATCATTACTGACACCTAGTGTTGTATCTATATAATTTCTCTCAACGGTAGCTTATTGTAGGATCCTTACAGGGATCCTCTGGCCAGACTAGGAAACCCCTCCTCTGATGACCTATTTTGAAGGAGTGAGGAACCGCAAATGCTTTTAAGGTGGATTTTGGGGGCAGGCTGATTGAAATGTGTTTCATAGCTTCTGCATTTACCAGCTAGCAGAAAAAAAACCCTGAAAAACTACATTTTATACACAAAAAAGGCAGCGTGGGTGTATGCATGTGCACTCGGCCTTCCAGCACTTTCTGTACAGCCCCTAATAATTGATCCTAAAGGAGATGTTTTTCCATCACCTACCACTTGCCAGGTTCCTCTCACATTCAACACAGGTCATCAGAAAGGGGGTTTCCTAGTCTGGTTGGAGTGTCCTTTTAACACCTCATTATGACTTTCTGTAGCAGGCTGACGTTCTGTGATGCCAGTGTATCTAGCAGTTAAAAAAAAGGTGGTCAGTCATCAAAAAGGGCACAGAAAATAGCACACCCTGCTGAAAAAAAGGATTAAAACATGATAATTTTGCTTTCTAATGGGAATTGGCTTAATGCTTTTCATTAGAGACCACTAGTTTCCTGTAGAATACCTTTAGATCCCATTAGGAAACCATAAAATGCATCTGGAATCAGTCCCAAAACACCTGTCAAACCATTAATATTCTTTACATTGTGACATCAACCCATTTTCACCAGGCCAGTCGACATGGTGTGTGTTTACATGCACTTAATAATGCAGTCATAATCGGGTTTTGGCAATTATCTGATTATTCAAGTGGCCATGTAAACAGCATACTCTGATTTCTCAGATCAGATTAAGGCCTGGAAATCTGATTAAGAAATTCGATAAGGAGAGCTGAATTTTAGCTCTGTAATCAGGTTTTTCCAGTACATGTATACCCTTACTCTGATTTCTTTCCTGTTACTCAGTCTGTGCATGTGCAAAAACAGACTGCTTTTCTGGACTAAACACAGCACTCATGAAATGGCAACAAAACACTTTTGGAGCAATGCCGAAACCACCTACATGCGTGATGAAATGAAGGATTTAAATATTCTTCATCTTCTAGCTGATGTATATCTATATTTTTTGCCTGAAAGTGAATGTTTTTTTTTAAAAAAAAAGCCGCGACGTTTGAGTTTTCTTTTACGTTCACGCCGCGTCTTATTCTGCGAATTTATTGGCGGGTTGCAAAGCAGAAATCCTATTATTGTGTGACTCATGTAGACTCTGAGTTTTCCATTATCTGATTACCCAAGTGCGTTTTAATGTGTTGAACAAATTACAGACTTATTAAGTGCATGTAAGCGCACTCATGGGTAACTGAAAACAATTGTAGCGCAGCCTATTTCACACATATACCTCTGACTTCCCATCACATTTCCTAGACAGTCTAGTAAGACAAAAATCGTAGGAGCCTTTCTGTGACGATATGGGTGCAGACATTCCAGCCAGTTTGGTGGTGATGGGAGTGAAGGCCCTCCCGCTCTTCTTCACAGCTTCCATCGTCAGTGGTGAGCGGAAGTGAGGGCGGAAGTGGGTGCGGAGTGGATGGAGCTCGCGGTTGCTCCTCATGGAGGGTATGCGGGTCCGAGCAGTTCGCCTGGCGTCTGCCGTGGGGTCCTTAAAACGGAATACATGAGCAAAGGCGGTCTTGAATCCTGCAACGGTTTTTGTGTAAGGAAAGAGCCGTGACAGAACTTCCATTGATGTCTTCAAGTTGGACTAGCCTTTGGCTTCCTGCAGTTCGGATAAAGAAACATTGTAAGATGAGGAATGCAACATTTGATATGATGAGGTCAAAATTTAAATTGAGTTGTAATATTTTATGTGTAAAAAATGTCTTGATTCTACAGAACTCAAATTACATATCACAAACATTGGTTTGTCTCAGAAAATAATATTAATTAAAAGAAAAAAAGTAGCATGCCCCTGTGCAAAAATTGATTTTACAAAACAGCGCGATTTTGAAAAAGCTTTGAAGTTTCCAGTGTTCATTTTTTCAAATTTTCTATATTGTATTGAAATTATTAATATTCAGTATACTTACATTCTGTCTGGTTCAAGTAAAAAAATATGTCTTGCCTTAGTAGCTACTGCTCCAAGAGTTGAGTTTATAATTACTATTCTGAGTAGTTTGTCAATAACTGTAAAGATTATGTGAACACTAAATGTCAGTTTCAATATGAAGTGTTTTGTTCTGAAGCATATTAGAATTTTCATGATTTTTGCTATGATTAATACTACATTTATTAGAGAAATAAAAATGTGTCTCCATTATACACTGAGCTGTAATTGTTTTCTATGCATGCAAACCATTGTTAGCAACCAGGACTATCGGCTTCCATTGAGTTTGGGTCTAAAATTGATGTAGAACATGTTTATTTCTCTGGACTGTTGTAACTGCTATGAGAGCTAAATGACTGTCTATATTGCAAGTGGCACCTATCGGGGTCCAAGCACTATACCCCTTATGGAGCCAGTAGTGATGTTTTTTTTAGAATTGCCTTTATTTCTAAAAATGAAGTGTCTCAGAAAACATTTTTGGACATACTGAGCATTTGATCCAGCCATGGTAAGCAATAGATTTTCAACAAATAAATCAAAATACCTAGAAAACAGTACACTACTTGGGCGTAACCTAAATAATTCTGCAGCAGTTAATCCTGTATTTTAGTCTCAAAAGGCACCAAAATTGTCCTTTAGGAAGTATGTTTGCTGGACTCTGCAACAGGCGGTTGTTTTGGAACTTGTCGACTTTTTCACTGCTCATAAGTCTGCTTTTCAAAAAAGTGTTATATCCAAAAATTGTTATACATAGATATACAACATTGTTAAATGAAACTCTTCACGTTTGTGTCATAAATGAGCCTATAAGGAACTATGATCAACTGTTAATATATCATTTCTACTCCAATTTGTATGTCATTGACCCTAAGGTCAACACTGTCCTGCAACCACTGTAATCCTTTTTGAGACTTCTTGTACAGCCACACGTAGTGTGGCTAATCTCTTTTCCGTTCTTTGGAGAAGACAGAAAACACTGATCTAGGTCACTAAATCTGTTCTTACTTTTGATGCCTAACAGACACAAATATAATGAACATTACAATAGGCCAGTAGTTAAGCTGAAAGAAAATATAATAGGATGAATGAACTTCAGATAAATGTAAGAACTAGGAAATCCAACTTCTGACAATGCATCTTGAAGGTGGAAGTACATTTTTGGGGGTGAGCTGTTTGATGTTTATTGTATTGTATTTATTTATTTTCTTTTGTTAGCTAGCTGAATTATTACTTTAACAAAGAAAGAAAGTTTGGCAACCACTTGAAGTTAGTGCTATATCATTAATGCTAGCTAGCACCACAAATGTAAAATGTTTCTCACCAATGTCATATATTCTTTGTATTATCTTTAGTTATAATAATTATGCCACATTAGAGGTGTATTATTTATAATGTGCAGTAAATTACAAAAGGAGAGACCCCAGGATAAAGATACCTGGGATAAAGCAGCAGTCATTCAGAATGAGAAGCAAACCATTCATTGTAGACTCACCTGTTAGTAGTCAAGCTGAATGGTAGTAACCACGTACAGTGAAGCTATATCTGCTACGTTCTGCTCTTCTGGTTGCAATGCTGGAGACACCACTGTGATTTGGTGTATAACTTAAGCCTGTCTGCGACCTCTCTTTCTTTGTGGTGACTGTTGTATCTAAAGGCAAGCCTAATTGCATAAGACATCACATGGCAAGGGCCTATTTAGATTACTGGCATACAGCCCTCCGGTACTTATGTTGGGTGCTAAAGCCAACACGCAACAATTCCATCACGTAGGTTATAACATTTATTGAAATAAAAATATTGAATGTAGTTAATGCATACTGTGATAACAGTCATATTACATCATCATCCAGATACTACAGATGCCTTTCTTAAGTAAATCATATTTTTAAAAATACAACCATTGTTTTTATACAGTTAATAATCAATATACATTTTATAAACGTGATAGTGAAAATGCATATTGATGTTATTCCTGTTTTCTCAATGGAAAAACAGCTCTGTGCTGACCAACAGCAGACAGCAGTACTTGACAGTGCACCTTAAAGGTCAGAAAGGACAATGACCCACAGATTAAAGTAATTTCTGACGTCACGGTGATGCTCAGTGAGCCAAGTCACTTAATGAACAATAGTCATTCATTTAATCAGGTCTTTCATACAATAGGATTGAATTCTATTGTCCAAGTCATTTTAAATGTATCTAAACAAAAAGTGGCCTAATTTACCAGGTTTGTATTTACATATACATTTGTTAATTCAAATGCACTCTGAAATGATAGCAGTTATTTTATGGCAGACTTTGTCTGATATGAGCAACATGCATTTGAAATGTATGCATGATTTCCTTGACTAGAAACCTTATTACTGTAATATTAATCTGTAATTGACAAAGTACTGTGATGTGAATAAAAATACAGACATTTGAAAGATCTTATGTATCTGATATAGGGCTAAACTTAATTTGGTACACTGAAAAAAAAAAAAACATTTCTAGCGAGGCATAATATGGCAAATGTGCACCTTCTATTTTGGTAAAGACACCATTAATAGTAATGACTTTTTCCACAGCACTCATTGTAAGGCAAAATTTAGGCCATACCTACTTTTTATAGCCTTTATAGCTAAGAAATTACGGAAGATACAAGCTTAAAAATTCTTGTGTCTATAGTGGCAGAAATGACATCACTACTGTGTTAATGTGGCATTCCAGCCAAAAACTAGCATATTATATCATCTCTGTCCAACGAAAAAGCAAGTTTCTCCAAAGTAGTAACTTCACAGGAAAAGGTAAAAACATTCTTTTTAAATGTAAGTTGATGTAAAGATATTTTATTGTAAGCAATTATAAAGCATTTCTGTTGGTCCAGTCATCATGAAATTCCCACACCGTTTAAATGGCAGCTGCTGAGCTTAAGTCGTGTAGAAAAAAAAATATATAAAAATTGAGGTACTTGTTTTTTTTTCTATAGCGACAATATATTATTTGTTATGTTGTATTCTGTAGTGTAGAATTGTATCCCCCAGCATCTTTTTCATTTGACAGACTTTTGTATTGTTTTGTCCATCAGTGTTCTCTCACTACCGTACCCAGCATTCATTATACAAATACATCTCACAATCATCGTCAATCCCTATTCTGCTCAGCAAATCCTGACTGTTAGCCACTGACACAGAGGTTAATAAAAACATCTGTGGTGCTAGATAGCATTAATGATATAGCACTTACTTCAATTGGTTGTCAAACTTTCTGTTAAAGTAATAATTCAACCAGCTAGCAACAAACAAACAGCTCACCCCCAAAAATGTATTTATTAGCCTATGTATCAGTGGCTAACTGTCAGGAATTGTTGAGCATCGTGGGGCTGACAATGATTAGGGAAAGACTAGGACATCCACCTTCTGATGATGCATCTTAAAGGTAGATTTCCTAGCCTTTAAACCAGACAATCTCTCATTTCGAGACTACTGCAACACCACTGTAAGAGTGGGACGTTTACAACAGATGTAGCCATGGTTCAACTTTTCATTTTGGCCAGAGTACAAATCTGAGATGGTCTATTGGGAGGCCTGATTTTACATGGACAAGCCCAAATTTCAGAAGTAAATCACACAGCAAATGACTCGATTTGTGATCAACAGCATGTTTTTTTATTGCAGAGATAGTCTTATTGTCAGCACAGTCTTCACCCCAAGCATCTTCATTTCTCTACTCCCACACTACTGCAAGTACAGTAACTTAGCAAGAACATTCAGGTGCTTCTTGTACTAGGTCATATAGGCTATACAAGGCTATACAGTACCTCCAAAGAAACAACACTTGTATAAATTCTCACCAAGGGACAGTAATAGGGATACAATGTATATATATATAGGTTTATGTTTGTTTTAACAAAAGTAAAGGAGAGAAACTGAATATGCACTGACTACGATATTTAGTTTTTAATATCTGGATTCTTTTTACAGTAGTAAAGTAGGGGATTATGGTGGTTCAACAAAGATATCATGATTTGCCTTCTTTGGTAAAAAAACACTTCAAATTAAAGCATTGAAAACTGCATACTGAAAGACATTTTAATCTCTTGTTGGTCAGAGGAGTAACAATGAGGAATCTAAAGTTAAGATTGTTGGACACAGTACAACAGACATTAGCATTAGAAAGGTAGTGCAAAACTACATGGATGAAGTCAGTCTCTCTAAATACCTCCTAGAAATCTTCATTTTTGTCCATCACACTTGTATCATCGTCTCCACATACATTCCTCAGCAACTTCACTATTACAGTTCAGCTCATTTCAACACTGATCCTCCGTCCTCGACCATACCGTTTTCTTTTCGTTGAGCCCACCTCTCAAAGCGCGTGATTTGTGTTGGCGGGTAGTATAGTCAGTCGTTGTTAGTAAGTGCTAAGTTGGGTCAGGATCTTTCCATTGACATAGAGGCAGAAAAACCTCAGCACAATCCAGCTCTCTCAAGCCCACATTCACATTTCAGTTAAGTCCATCCCTCCTATAACTCACAGCAAAAGGAAACCTACATTTATCCTGCATTTCCTATCCTGCAAAAAGAGAAATGACAGACGAAAAAGGGTAATCCTCTGGAAATATTACATTTTGCGAGATGTCACATCTTCTTTTGAAATATAAAAGACTTCCTACGTAGAAGAATGAAATATATGCGGTGGTAGAATCCACCTTCTCCTATCCTGTATCTCTCTTGGGCCACTCCTGGGCCAGTACAAGCTTGTACGCTGAGCAAGACTTTAGCTCAAGGGTCTCTGGAGTCAAACGGCCGTACAACCATTCATTTTCTTTGGTTGTTAACGGGGTGGAAAACTCTCCAGGTGAAGGAGAAGATTTCTAGACTAAGTGCTGCCCTGAGCGCACACTGTGCCACTGGAGGTCAGAGACATGGGGAAGGGAATCTCTGCACTGAGGCAGCAGTCTGTTGACTCTGCCAGTTCCCCTTCCTTCTCACAAATCACAGTCATGGGCCCGCTGGGGATACGACTGCGACTGTTATACCGGCTGCTGGCAGCAGAGGGTGGCGTACTGGAACGGCCATATTTGGAGGATGTCAGGCTGGGGGAGAGGCGAGGCAAGGCACCCTCAGCCCGTGCCCACTCCTCGTAAGCCCTCCTGCTACGTCCTGGGGAAGTGCAGGAGGTGTCAGGTTGTGAGGCCTCTGCATTGGGTCTCTGGAGACGGGGGTCGGTGCATTTTAGCATTTCGGCAGCAGACATGCGAAAGCTGTGCTCAGAGCGGCTTCCTTTCTTCAGGAGCAGGGCTTTGAAGCTGTCATTGCTGGTGGTGGAGCGGCGCAGGCTGCGCTGGATGAAGCCGGTCTGACGGGGCAGGGAGGACAGGCTGGGGCAGGTGCCAGTGGGGGTGACGGGAGGGGAGGAGAGGAAGCCACGGGAGCGATCTTCTTCAGAATCGCCACGGCCCAGAACTTTCCTCTTCGACCTGTGAGGTGATGAACAAGTAGAGCTTAGCAGATCAGCCCTCAGCACTGAGTACTTGTTGTCTGTATATTCTGGTATTGTTTTGAAATAGAACACAATGGAAGCAAGTGGTGTTTGTAAGGGCCACTGGAAAAAAGAAAACTGAAATGACAGTGAAGACATTATGTTACTTTTACCAGAAATGTACATCGAAGCTGTCGGGACAAAACCTCATATCTTCATTTTTCATTTTTTGACATAATTTGAAAAAGGCAGTTTCCTTTTAAGTTATGTCAAAATTTCATGATGACCGGACCAACTGAAATGGTCCAAAAATACTTGGAAAAAAAAAATTCTCCATTTACTTCCATTAAAAGTTAAGAATGTTTTTCCTTGTCCTGTAAAGTTACCTTTTGGGAGATACAAGGTTTTGTTCTGCTGCAAATACATATATATATATATAATTCATGTATGAAGGACATCCAACAGATCAAATTTAAAAAGTTGTCCTTCAGTCTACACCAAAGGCAATAAAAATTACCATATTCATAGCCTTTAATATTTTATTGTAAAATCTTTGCCTTTCACTTTGCATGCAATGCTGTTTGGAAATAGCTTTAGATCTACCCATTTTCCCTTGAGAAACATCCAGCAGAGGCTGCCTTGAAGGAATATATTAATATCTGCTCATGCAAGGCATTAAACTTTGATTTACACACATTGATGTTGACAGCTAAGAATAAAACTGCACAAAGCGTTCCAAGGCTGTGGCTTAGGAGCTGCTCAAAGCTCTTTCATTGCCTTTATATGATCTGCAAATACTATATCACAATACAGGCTTGTTTTTATCTAGGGCCCATAAATAATCATGTTTCAGCCAACAGGAAACTACACCACAAGCACAGTGAAACACAGCTTTGGGATCCAAAGGAGATTAAAGAAGGCAAAACAGTGTATTTAATCTGTCCAGGAAACTATCAGGTTTTTACAGGTGTAATCCACAGGCCTAACTACGCTACAGGGGGGCACCACCAGCCAACGACACAGTTACTTGCCAGTCCACTCCACACCTGTAATTGGATATTCACGCTCCTGGTCCAGAAGGTCATGTGAATTTAGAAAATAAGTCATCACACTGAGTACAAGAATGTCCACAGCAGCAGTATTACTAAATGTAACATTAAGCGTTGTCATCAGTGTTCCCTTTTCCTGAATTTGTAAGCATCTTACCAAGCATTATGGAAACAGATTAAGGGACAGATAAAAGTAACATATCTGAAGAATTACAGCAGCTACTTACAACTGAGAGAATAAGTGTTACTAAGAACTGGTTTTCACTTGGCATGTTCCCTGGAAGTACGAAAAGTTTCTACTTAATGTTAACACTGGTATCACTGAGAGACCCTCTTCTGTTTTTCCGCAGGAAATTTTAGCTAACAATTAACCCTCTGTTGCACATATTATGAGAGCACTGTTTAAAAAATATTTCACTTTTCTCGCATAAAATGGACCTGATTATTACAGTCAAAAAGGTTTTAAAAATGTGTGTCCGTTTGGTCCTTTAAGAGTATGTTGCTTTGAGGCAACATTGTGTGACAATGGACAGAAATGATAGTGATATATAAAAAAAACGAATTTACCATTGTGAAGTGTTTTTTTTCTTCCAGCAATCATTTAAAACAGCAAATAACAGATAAAACCATGCTAAGATCTATAAAGAATGAAATAATTATCAAGTAATCGGAAATGGCTTTCATTCTCTAAACAAAACTACTGATGATACTAATAAAACATGCAGTACGACCACACAATGTTGCACAGTGTTGCTTCTGGGCAACATCCATATTTAAGCAATTTTTCAAAATACTAAAATCTTTTATAAAATATGGAATGTTAAAAAGCAGCAGATGTGAACCATATTTTTGGATGGATGACAAAGAATGAAAACTTGCTTTTCTGAGGGAAATTGGCTGGTGGAGAAATGTATTTCCTCCAAAAGCTGCACCATGCCAGAAAGAGGTTTATGGATATAGATATGAATACAGATATGGATATAGTATGCATTTTATTGGTTTATTCAAAGTGTCATTATATGTGAACCATGTCATTGTAAAATGATGAAAATGGGTTTGTTACCTTGAGGCAACATTGTGCCATTAGAGGGTTAAATGTTTGAGTAATGATAAACAATTCAATTAAATAAACTGCCATTCATAATGCTACAAATGATTACTGAAATCATATATTATAAAGGTGTCAAGACTATTATGATAGGAGGACATAATAAAGATAAAGAAATCATTAATTTATACAGTTTAGATCAGTACTCAGCATTCAGTTTCTAAACACTGATAGACCTTTCATAATCACATTTTATTACGTTCTAAGGTAAATGTCTACAATCTGTTCAATGCATATTTATATCCCACATAATTTGACATCCATGAAATGTATAGCCTAAAACATCTTTAATATACATATATAATCTTATTTTCTACATGGCAGGGCTCAGCATACCTGTGAATGGCTGCAAAGAGGTCCTCTGTAGTACGTGGACGAGCAGGCGTCACCATCTCCTCCACAGCTTCTTCGTTAGTGCTGGACGTTGGAGAGGAGATATCTGTGCTGGAGTCAAACACAGCGCCTAGGACATAAATAAGACACAGGCATCCTGATTACTGTCCTTTCACAGCAACTTAAAGCCAATATGCCCACACCAAAGCCGAGACTGATGCTGATTGAGATGCAGTGTGGTCTAAAAACTGCTCCGCCACATACATTTTCAGCTCCTTTAATTATTCACACCCTGCTGCTACTGCTGCTGCCTCGCAGTATCTGCACTTTGCCAAGCTTTACAGTAGCAAAGAACATTACATTTTAAGCCTGCACCTATTAAGCTCTGTGGTTCTTCCCAATTCCATCCTTACCACCCACAGCCAGAAAGTGCTACTGATAACATATAAAATTAAATGAATTCTAAAGTAAACAGTCATTCCTGCAGCAGGGCACTATGTGAAAAGCCAATAGCAACTGTGGGGGAGGTGGTGAAGAGGGTTCCACAGAGTCATCTCTCACTGCGGGGAGAAGCAGGTGGCGTGAGATACTGCAAACCAATATTTACTACCTACAACCACTCAGGCTAAGGAGATGGAGAGGAAGGTTTATGTGCACTGGGGCTTGTTAACACAAAGCTCATCACCTTGTAAACACATAACAAAAACATAATAAAAATGTGGTTTATGACAATTTATTTAATCAAAAAGGCCATTAAAGAGCATTCTGCAGCCCTATTTGTATTGGATTAGTTTATCAGGGAAACATCTACATTAAAATTTTTACACATCTCTTCAGTGATAAAACTCTCACATCCAAACAGCAATAAAATTAGCACAGAACAAGTGAGTATCTAGTGGGTTGTATTTTCTACAAAGCTCAGCCCTTTAATCAGCTTTTCTGTTTGACTTTATTTTGTTTCCTTTGCTGCTAATGCTCTCACATTGTTGAGAGGATGAAGGTTCTACTGCCCAGACCAAGTTAATGGTTGAAAGACTCTTCCAAAGAAACCATTGTTTTGTGATTCAGGAAGTGTTTTATACGAATGCAAATGCTAGGAGACTAAATACGGTACGTTTGTGAAAGACAGTAGGTAATTAGGCCTGTAAATTTGTCAGGGGAGGAGGGAGAAAAACAACATGGCCAATCCAGATGGATATAAAATCACTGAGTAACACCTGCAAAGGACAAAATTAACCTAAGACCCATGCAAATTTAATCGTGTCCGAATAGTGCTCATGACAGATAATGTCACATTTTTTTGCATGAACCACAGCTCTCTGAATACTGCTGGCTGGGTTATGTGCTCCCTCAAGACAACAAAAACATCAGTAGTTTTAAAGGAACTAATGACTAAAATGTCTTACAGAAGCAATGGTAATGAGCTGCTATGAGGATTACATAATTATGCATGAAATGAAACAAATTTAAATGAGCACAAGCTCAATAGCTGTAAGCTAAAATTTATAGCAGTAGCATTTTGCACAACCTAAAGTTTTTTTTCATCCTGTGCCAAGAACATAAATTAGTACATCAATTTAATGACAGTTGCCCCTACTCTGTACGGTGCTTAAGAGACGTTGCTGTGCATTCACTCATTGTGCTGGGAGTCAAGATGAGATGCATGCAAACACAGTAGAATTGTATATGAACACATTTGAGAATCTTACCATTTTCTTCGTTTTCATCCTCTTTAAAGCTGATTGATCCTGAGCTGGTGCTTGAACCATCATCTGAAATGCCCTTATCATCGCTTAGCCCAAGGTCTTTATCACTCAGCCCGAGGTCATTATCACTCAATCCAAGGTCATGCTCGTTGAAAATGAGGGCAGTGAATTGAGGGTCATTCAGACTGTCTGAGGAGAACTCGCTGCTGAGCGAAACCCTGCTTGGGCCCAAAGGAGTAGAATTACCAGAATCACTCTCAACTTCTACATCCAGTTGTAATGGAATCTCTTGAAGGTTAAGTGAATCTCTCAGGGGAGTACTGTTTAGTGCTTCTGGCTCTGCAGACACCTCTGGGCTGGCAACCTCAATGGACTCAAGACTATTCAAAACAGGTTGCTGTGGGATTGGTGGTATAATTAAGAAAAGACTGGGCTTCTTAGGTGATACAGGAGGCTTCTCCTTCTGGGGAGTACTTTGAATTGCCTCTGGAGAAGCTGTAGGTTGTTGAGGTTTGAAGGCAGGAGGTGTGCTTACAGATTGAGAATCTTTTCCATCATCATTCACAGGTTCAATTAGAGCAGAGGGTGGCTGAGAGGACATCATGTAATGTGTAAAATCCTCATCTGAAGACTCTGATGTGTCCATTCCATTCTCTGATGGACTGGGAGAATCAGGAATAATAGTATTTTCAAGAGTTTCTACTTCAGCAAGTTTATCTGAACTTGTTTGAGGCTCTGGGATCTGCTCTTGGTCCGCTGAAGCACACACAGTTGTAATAATATCTGTGAAAATGTTTTCCAACTTCATGAGCTTTACTGGTCGGAGCTGTACCAACTGCAGAGCTTGGGCAGTGATTAGTGGTCTCTGAGGTCTCTCTTGTTCCTCAGGTTGAGAAGAGCTTTGTTCCTTTGTCCTTTCCACTGACTCCACAGTTACAAGAGAATTTGTTCTTTTTAAAATGGTTCCTGCATGAAGGCCCATCCCAGGTAATGGTGGTGGAGGAGGTGGAGTATGAACATGAGATGGTAATGTGAGTGTAAGTGGAGGAGGTGGTGGAGGAGGTGGAAGTGGAGGTGGTGTTGGTGGTGATGGTAGAGGCTCCACTATATTTTCCCTCAGCAACAGAAAATCTGAGATTGCAGAGGGAGGAGGGGGAAAGCCAGGGAAAATGTTGATGGATGCATTACATTCCTCTGTTGTGGTAGGTGACAGCATGGGAGAGCTTTGCTTTTTCTCGGGGATGGAGTTTATAGCCAGAGGAGAAGGAGGTGGTGGTGTTGGGGTTGGGGATATCTTGGATCCTATGTCAGAGCTGGACATAGGGCTAGTTGAAACAGATAGAGCAGTCTGAGGAATGACAAAACCAGGAAAGGTTGTAGGTAGGGGAGGAGGTGTTGGAAGACTCTTGAAGGAATCCGATGTGTTTGAGGACAGGGATGTAGTTGAAGAGGAAACTGAGGAACGCAGGGAGGACTTTCTCTCTGGGACTTTTGGTTTAGGCCTTCCTGCTGGAGACTTGGCTCTCAGAAGAGATGTTACTGGGGTTCCTGCAGTTGGAGTAATTGACTGACTTGAATATCCACTAGATGGTGAGGTCAGATGGTGGACCTTGTCTGGTGATGTAGCTAAATTTAACTTTACCCTGGTACTACTGCAGTCAGCAGATACATTGGTAAAGACTGCATTCTCCCCAGCACTTGCAGATCTTGCATTTGGAGAGGAAGGACCTTGCTCAGATCGTGACCGAGGGAAGTCTATGTAAAAGTCCCATGATTCAGCATATTCTGAGCGCTGGCTGCTGCTGCTGTCACTGTGTGTGGGTGTGATTGGACACACAGCAGCTGGTGCTGACATCCCACTACTTGCTGCACTCACCGTGCTCTGGCTCCTAGGACGCAGAACCCAGGGGTCCTCATATCCACTGCAGGGCATTCGGCCTGAGAACGATGCACTGTTGCCTTTCAGGGACTCCTGAAGAGTAGTGATCAGTTGCTCATTAAGAACTGTCTCACTGTGGTGTGGTTTTCGTTGTGGCTTGCGCCGCAAGGAGTCAGTTCGTTTAGGAGGGAGCGGGGGCTTTTTAGCTTTCCTCAGGGAAATGCTACGGGTCAGAGACTGGTTGCTGTGTAGGCTTGCACGGTCACCCTGACTGTGGTGCTCCCTGCATTCATATAGGTTGTGTCTCGCGTTACCTGCTTTGTTGATGCAACCATGGCTGTGTGATTTAAGACCTGAGTCCAAATGCATAGAGGTGTAATACCCCTCAGTGTCAACAGAAAACAAAGAGCTGGAGTCTGTCTTGGTTGGAGAACGTTCCAGACTGTTATAGACATGACTGATAGGAGAGGAACAGCTTGAGGTATGCTGACCCTTTGGAGCTGTTTCATATGTCCATTGGTCAATGGTCAGAGTGCTGCAGCTTTGAGTGCTGCTCTCTGAGAAGTCAGAGTTTCTGCGGACACCACTGGGACTGTTGCAGTTCCTTCCGTTAAGGGTGCTACACTGGGACTCAGTCTCTGTGTGGCTGGCTGTGTGGAGGGAGGCTGGAGAATGGCAGCGAGAGGATCCAGCAGAAATAGAGGTACCAGCAGTGCTAAAGGGCAGGTGTGAAGGACCAGATGGCACAGAATGCAATGTCTCTTCTCTGTCAAAGCTTTGCTTTGAGTAGATAGAACTGTAGTCACTCAAGTTCTGCAAAGCACCATTGGGAGTGAAGGGGGCTGGGCTGTTATTGTGGCTGGAAGTCATGTAGCCTGGTGTTGTATTATGCTGTCCATTCTGGAAACCTTGGAATTCATCAGATTTGGGACTGATCAATGAACTTTTTCTGGAATCAACTACCATGTGCTGTGAGGATGGGCTAGCAAGCTGTATGTTAACCTGGTAGGGCAAGGAGCTTGTGGAGCCATTCACCATCTTGTAGGGGGAACTGGTGTACTTGGGTTCATGCTGTTGATAGGAGATTCGAGCACCTTGACGAGGCAGACTGTGAAAGCCTTGGTCACTGCCGTTACGCTGAGGACTAAAGATGGCACTATTGCAGTCACTCATGTTGGAGATGCTGCCTGAAGAGGAGAGGGAGATGTTGGCCATTTGAGCAGCGATGCCACACCCCCGCTGTGCACGGATCCTTCGCATGGATGGGGGTACAATCTTTACTTCCTCTGTCTGGCAGCCAGAATCACGGGTGTCTGAGTGTTTCAGGGTGGAGCTGACACTTCCTGCAGGGCTAAGGGTGGAGTACTGGCCGGGCATGTACACTGAGTGAGTTCTGATGTCATTTTGTCCTGCTGTAGAAAAATTGAGAGAGATGAAAAAAAATGTAAAATTATACTCTGATCATGCAATCCTTATTCCTCTGTGTCTATTTTTATTCAGCTGTACTTTTACATTTCAGCAGATTGGGACTAATAAGTCATACTTACATGTAGCTGTACTACAATAACTTAAATAACCATTGGAACAAAAAGCATAGACTGAATGATATTTAAAGGACACTCCAGCCAAAGAATGGAACCATCACTTCTAGAACATTGTCATCCGTTGTAAAAATGCTAACATCTGTTGTAAACATGCTAACATGCTGACAGTAGTCTAATGTATCTTGAAGAAGGAACTTTTGGAAAACTCCAAATGCTTTGGGGGTAGATTTTTGGGGTTGGGCCATTTTTTGCTAGCTGGTGAACACAAAAGATAAGCCAATGTTACTGCTAGTAAACTGCATATCTTATTACATCTAAAAATGTGCTAACTGTTTTCAAATTATCAGTACAACGCAGAGAATGGATTACTTGACTTCAGATGAAGAGGACAACAAGCTAAAGGCTACCATAGTTTTCTAAATGCCTTACCACAGTTTTGTTTTTTTCAGTGGTTGAAAACAGAAATAAATTTGTCTCTGGTGCTCAGTTTGCACTGATCAAAGATAGACACTATGTTTTGTACAGCGAACAACGTAAAAGTTACATTAATGCAAGCTTAAATTTATTAGTCTATAGATCAGTCTCTGGGCTACAGTCAGAATTGGATTAGCAACGATTGCTGGGTATTGTAGTGAGAGAGCACTGATGAACAAAAGCATGAACACATGTTTTCTCTCAAAAATGTGAATTCTCTCAAAGCAGTGGGGCTGAGGGATACAATGCTGCACTACAGAAAACTGCATAATAACATTATATTCTAGTTTTAGGCCAGAGTGTCTCTTTTTTGGTGGGAGAAATGATAAATGACGATATGAATAAGAAGGGAATAGATATGTTTAATAATTACTGGGCAAATGTTCAGGAACCACAAGTTTTTAATGAATTATATTTTGTTTTTATTAAGAATAAGGCTTGACACCGAGAAGCTACTTATGTGAATAAATGTCATTAGACTACTGCATAAATGCTTTTGAGGTCTGGCTCCAACTGTTTCTAAGCTGTTACAATATCAGAAATGAGAAAAGTTCTACAGTGGGAGCAGAGCCCACTTCACTGAAACTGAAGAAGAATCACTGGAAGAATTGGATATAGTGCCACATAGCCATACCTAATTCCCTTTGGACGTTGTCTGGAACCCCTGTTATAGTCTTCCTTCGTTTTACCTTCTTTGACCTCCGTATTACTGTGTCAGTGTTGCTTAAGGTGCGTCGAAAGCTTGCCTGTCGGTCAAAGCTCTCACCTGTTATGAGATTTCAAGACAAGGCAAAACTGCTTATGTACACCAAAAATCTTTTGAATAGGAAACGGTGATGATTTAATTTACATAAAAAAAATCAACATAGTATCTGTAATTAAAGGGTTTTGTTCTAAAACTTCAAGACCACTTTTCTTTTTTTCATGATATACATATTTTTCAAGAAATATCAATGCTATATTATGATTAATATCCCCTTTAATAGAGAAATAAAAATGTGTTTTCCGTTAACATCAGCATTCATTGTTTTCAAAAAGTGATTATATCTAAAATTGTTATAAATAGATATACAGCATTTTGGAAAGAAAGTTCAACTATTAAAAAGATTTTTAATTGGGGTGGACAATATGATGATAAACTACGTCAAATTATGTCACTGTATGCTCTTCTGAGCATACTGAGGACACTGTCAATACTTTAAGAATGCTCACCAACTGCATGTTTTATTACAAAGAGAGCATAATTTAACTGTACTGTACTCATATAGTACTTTTATTAGCATGTTTAAATGTGGCACTACTGGTTCTGGTTTGTCTGTTCCAACTTACCTCAGACAAACTAAATATTGTGATGTGTATCAAGTATTGTTATATTTTAACCATTTCGCCCATCCTTATTTTATTACATGTGCAAAGCACAAAGGGGGAAAGCACACCCATCCCTATTTTTGATGCTCCCAACATCTTATACACCAAAAGATTTCTTTTTCAATGCAATATCATGACAGTTAAACAACTGAGAAAAGATGCTATTTTTCAGAGAACACCTCAAGAACATTATGCTGAAAAATTGTACCTGTGATGTCGATGGGAACAATGTCGGTGGCCACAGACTGGGCCTGCTGCCTCATCTTCTCCTCTGGTGTCGGTAATGGAAGACTCTTGCTCCAGCTGCTCTGCGTATTTATGTCACAGATGTTATCTAGCAGAGGAGTTTCGGGGGCCCATGGAGTACACAAGTTTCTCCTCTTCAGCTGACGACTCTGATGACTGAACACAACACATGCACTCAGACTTGAAGAGTATGGGATTGAGCCTGTTTCCAGGGAAGGGAATTGCGTCATACTTGGTCATTTCCCCAGTTTTGTCAGTTGAGAAGCTAAAAAGAAGGAGGAACTGAACTCTGCACTCCTCTTGAACTCTGTTTCCTCCAGGCACTAAATTGTGAATGAAATATTTCCGAGCTCAGAATGTTCTGGCATAGGCCTGTAAATTATTCATGCAAATTTGAGCTTAGTGTTACCGAGGCTGCTTACCACCACACTGAGTCTCCAAACTTGTTTGAATATAATGAAATATAACAGAAAAAAGTCTACAGGTAGTACCAAAAGTTAATAGCATAATATACAGCAACAAAATATGCTATTATTTGGACTTTTAAACACAAGGGAACTGATGGAAAATGCTGTTTAACAAATATAATGATTTAAATCGAGTTTTTTGGGAAGGCACAAACACTGGCTAGGCTACTGCATAAAGCAGCTAGAAAGGCTTGTAAGAATGAGGAGCCATTCTTTCTCAAAGAGGAACACAATGCTACCACAGCCTACTGCCAGCATAACCAGCTGTACCTTTTTTCTCCAAGGTTTCAAATGACAGCAGAGAGAGAAGCAGGATTCTGACAAGCAGTCTAGTACACCAGACCGCTTTGATGAGAGGGAGAAAACAAATGTGAAGGATATAAATAATTTAAAAGAAACATATATGTATAAACATAGAATACCTCACTAATGGAGAATACATAATGCCAAACATATCAGTTATTGTTTACAAACAAAGTGTCATACAAAGTCATACTGCCAGTGTGTTCTAATACCAAAGCTCCACTAGAGGGCAGTGTAAGACAACATTTCACACCAGCAGTCACACCTCGCTCCTGGAGATCTACCTTTCTGCAGACTTTAGCTCAAACCTTAATCAACCCCACCTGGTCCATCTGATTATTGCCTTCAGTAGCCCTAGATAAGCTGAATGAGGTGTGTTAGATTGGGTTGGAGGTGAAACCTGCAGGTTGGTAGATCTCCAGAGGAGGGCTGGTGACCACTGCTTTACATCATGGTTTCACATATAACATATTTGTATTTACGTTTAGACAAAGTACAAAAAACTGGGACACTTATTGGTAAATGCACCAGGGGACAAACATAAAAACTATACAGTCACATCTTTTGTATATTGTGAGTTGTCACCTTTCATTCTGTCCTCTCTCTACTGACTTTCCTTTTTGCTACCACTGGTAGTCTAAAGTTGGTATCCATACACATACATGATTAAGCCTGTTGTTAAATAACTTGATTTAAATATATTGATAACTGTTACATGCCATGGTGGTCATGTTAGCTCCTAACAGTTTTTTAATAAATGATCATCCATCCATCCGTCATCTAAACCGCTTATCCTTCTGGGTCGCGGTGTAATAAATGATCATAATAAACCATAATGGCTTTAAAAAATGTCCCTTTTAATCTAGTATATTCATCAAAAATTGGACAGTACTTAAAACCTGCTTTTTTAATTTTGACAATGCATATACATAATATTGTCAAATAAAAATTGTCTATAAATAATTCCATATACCAATGTTTACATATTTTCCATTTAAAACATATAAAGTTGCAAAATCTTGCAAATTTGACTATTAATTATTACATGAATATTAATGAATTAATTCTCAGTTAATGACATGTACAGTTGTATGAAAAGGTTTGTATACCTTGTGCTTTCTTTGTGGTTTCTAAGTGAAAAAAAAATTAACACGTCCTCTACAGGGAACAAGCTTTCTAGAATTCCTATTTATTTGAAGAGTCTGACATACTGGAAAAAAAACAATCAAATATAAGATGTGCTATAACTTTAACTGTGCATTAAAATGTGCAGAAATGTGTTCCCTGTAGAAGTTTATTTATTTTCACTTAGTAAATCAACACAATGTGGAATTTGACCATGGGTGCCCAAATTTTTGCATATGACTGTATGTAACATGTTGCCACAATACGAGCCCAATACAACACCCATGCTAAGCTACTCCACTACTGAGGAGACTGTTCACTTCAGTCAACCCTCAAAATAGTTTAGCAGTGTTGAGATTAATGACTGGCTCATTACACTGATTTATCAGTCTACTCAGGCTGTAGCAAGAACTTCAGTGTTTGTAAAGAGCTGTTTTTTTGAGTTCCTCTTTAAAGTCTGTCTAATGAGCATGTCTGCTGCACACTCTGGACTGATATCAAAATAGTTAATAAACAAGCATTGATAGTGTTTCTTTTAAAGATGTTTTTTTTATTATTTCATTGGTAAATGTTCTATAAGTGTTGTCCTAAAAATGATTGCTGCCTTTTCAAAATGTAGCATAGACTAAAAACAGATATTCTGTTCATTTCTGTGGTTGGACTGTAAACTGATGATTAAACTGTTGACTGAGTTATAATGTATATAATGTGTCGGCAGGGGAGATGTGAGACAGGCTGGAAAAGTACATGTAAAGTTTACCTTTTTCTTCTTCTCTGTCTCATCCTGGTCCAGAGGCCCACTGGATAAGATGGGTGAGGAGAACGTCGGGCCTTGGGAGTAGTACTGAGAGCTACGGAAGCCATCTTTCCTCAGCTTGTCACATTCTGTGGGGAAGCCAACATGACAATCCAGCACATCAGATTGACAGGTGGGCATTCAATCAACTTTGAAACACGGAAACAAACAAAACTACAGGAACACTTTCAAACTGCCAGGGTGAATGCCAAATGCAAAAGAGTTTATAGGTGATTACAGCTCCAATCTGAGCAATTCTTTTTCATTTGACTTTAGATGTTAACCCCTTAAATGGCCAGGGTCCACCAGCTTGCCCGAAGTTTCATTACACACTTATATAATCTAAGAATAGCTCAACCAGTCTGCATTGAAGTCCCTTTACTTACTGAATAATAAGCCTTAGTATGTAATAAGCCTGTGATTTTAAGGGGTTCATGTCAATTTTACATCAGATATGACTGTAAAAATGTGCATCTCACAACCAGCACCCTGCATGTTCAGAGGCTTTAAAAACAAAGCTCTCCATACAGGGTTTTGAATATGTACACTGTATTTTCAGATGTTACACAGTATCAAATGTATGTAATGACTATTTTTTCATTATTAAGTGAAGTTGGTTGCATTTTCTGCTTCTCACAATCTGAGTAATCCCAAACACATTGAGTTATGTTGAGGTTGGACTGCAAGGAGGAACAGAAACACCAGTGGATTTTTCAGATCTGAATAGAGTGGAACATGATTTTCTTTTAATAGAACAGAGAAAATATTTTTGTCCATTAAAACCAGATTTTGTCCATGTGACAGCCTTTTCCATCGAGGATGGAGTGCTTTCACACATCCAACTGATAGTTCAGTGCAAATAATAAAACATCGCCCACTCAGTCTGAACACAGCATGACAAAAAAACTTCCAAGCATGGTGGGTCTGTTCCAGATCAAAATAAAGAACCGAATACAAAAACATGCATAAAGGTCGAAAAACATGCATAAGGAAAGTCATTTTATGTCCCAAAGAGAGCATGAGTTTAACCTGAATATGTCAGGCATGAATGTTGGGTTATGAATGGTCTTCAAAGTGGGGGTCTCTACTTCCACCCACTGCCACTGACACATCTATTTATTTCAGTAGGAGATCTCTGCTGACATCTTTTCTAATGAAACCCTGCTGAGAAAAAACCAACCCCTCCCCCAGTGCTCATCTTTTTGCAGAGTCCAAGGTAATTACCTCATCTTTTCAGCTCATAATCCTTCATTTTGAGCAGTTCAAAGAAGCTAATTCAGTTGCTATCTAATGCAATCTCTGCCATGTAGGGCACTGCAGAGAAGCTCCAGCGTTTCTTTTGAGGCACAATGACTTTAAAAAGCGGCTCTGCCTTAGTAATCCTAGTCAGAAAATACCTGTTATATACAACTAGAACACATAAAGCTATGAATAGGGATTTCTGATCAAAGCAAGAATGTACAAGATTAGTTTTAACAGCATTTTTGTGGAAATGACCACCTGCTAAAGTACTAAAGGAGAGTTCACCCGACTTGCTGCCTCAGCAAACCTGAAGATGACAGATAACACATGCGGGAGGCACATGGCCTACATATGCAACGTACAGAACGCTGTGTTTTAAACACAGTCCCTGTGAGCATGAGGAGAATATTTTATTGAAGACTAACACTCTTAGCAAAAAGCGTTCTATGTAGCACTGAAAAAGGATTCTTTGACGTAACTATAGTGGAACTCTTTTTGGTGCTAAATAGAAACATTAAAAAAGGGTTACTCTTTTGTAGAAAGGGTTCTTGTGTTCTAGAAACATAAAAAGGTTTCTTAAAGAACCATATATAACCTGTTTTCCATAACAGAGAAGGGCGACTGACCATGCAAAGATTCATTAATGCATTCAAATGGTTCTTTGAGTGTTCATGGTTCAATAAAGAACCATTGCCTTTATGAAAGAACCGTTGAAGAACCATTGAAGAGTTTACTACAATTTTTTTTTTACAAGATATTATATAAGTGTATTATATGAGTGTAAAAATGATGCATCTGAAGGTGGTGATTTTGAAATGTTATTGGTTATTATACATTATAATAATAATCAATAAAGTATACAGTCATTACAGTCATTTCTTAGCCAAAATAAAACAATTTTTAAATACTAAAGGGCCCATATTTTAAATTTTTTGGTGTACTTTATTTTTTACCCTGATGTTTTCACTTATCGCATCTGTGTGGGTTTCCATGAACTAAAGTTCCCAACTCATTTTTACACGGCCATTTTCCAACCTTTCTTTAACCCTAAGATTCAAACAGGTTGCTTTTGTTACTGTGCCTTTACAAATAATATATGTAAATGAGCTCTGTTCTGATTGGCTGCCTCATGTAGCATCTCAATCAAAAAGCAGTCCAGCCTAAAACACTCCTTGCAACTTTAGCGTTAATCGGTGAGGATAAACTGCTGTAGGATGAACAGGTGGATATATGTGAATATGCTGGTTTACGTGACATCACAAAAACAGTGAATTCAAAACAGCCTGAATTTCTATATATGGACTGTTTGAACTTAGGAGTATGAAAGTCTTAAGGAGCCATAGATTGTTTTTTACTCTGTTATTCTGTGAGTTATTTTCATTAGTTTTCTCAAGATCTTGATTTATTTATATCACAAAATGAATGTTGTTTTCTTGAGATCTTTATTTCTGAGGTTAATAACTGCCCATAAGGCAACAGCGGAACTTGTTTTACCCAGCGTTTATGGACTTCGGTTTCTTGGGAAAAGGGTCTTTTGCATGACCAGTTATTTTTAAGCATGTCATTGTTTACCTGTTAGGATCAAACCCTGCTTCTCTAGGATATTAGGTCACCATCTATGCCGTGACAGTCACCCACCATAGATATATATTGTAGCCTTTACCACTATTAAAGTTTATGCACAAGTCGTTGTGCTTTATTAAAGGGCCGTATTTGGCCACAGCCACGCCGTACATAAGCAAAGCTTTTGGCTAACAACTCACTCTAGCATTAGCACATCTGCTCTCTCACACTTCCAGCTCTTGACTCCCACTACTTCCTGAACTACACATAAACACAGCTCAGCGGCTGGCCCCGCCTTCACAATAGTCATTTTCAGAATAACCCAGCTAATAAATGCTGCAGAACAAATAACCCAGAATAAACATGTCAACCCTATTTCTTGAACACGCCACAGTATTGATCTTGTACCAATGTTTTTCAGTTGACCCTGCTGTGGCTTTGGATTCCATGGCTTAAACTGATGTCATCGACCTCAGTATCATGACATACTATCGAATAGCTCAGATAATCTATTAGCACTTTAGGCCAAAGGTCCATCGTCCCTATGTAAATATTTCCTCTCCAAATTTAGCAAATAAATAAAAGAAAATGGAATCAAATAGAATTTATTAGGGGTGTAACAATAAACCCAGCTCACAGTTTGGTTTAATTCATGGTACTGGGTTTACAGTTTAAAAAAATTATGTGTATGTTTTACGCAACAATTAAGTCCATGATGTTGCACAAATAATGAGATTAGAGCAGTGAGGCAGGGGAGTGCGCCGTATGACGTGAACATGCTGGGGTTGAGTCATTTTTAGAGAGCAATGACAAGCAATGAAATGTCTGCAGCTTAGCAGTGAATATAGACTTCAGTTGCCACAACAAGTCACTGTGTAGTAAAAAAAAAAGAAACAGTGAGCACATGTGAAGGATCTCCTATCAATCCCACAGCAGAAGGGGCTTAACTAGTGTCCTCATTATGACTCTGGTACCCTTTAATATCTAACACATTTACCATGAAGCACACACTCAAACTCTTAATTGTAAAAAGGGTTCCTGTGTTATGAATGTGTGGAGACAATATATTGCTTTTTAATTGTTATTGCAGTATTGGCCTTAGCAATACTCATATTGTAGAAGCAGATCTAATCAATCACAATGTTTTTTTACTGTGTGCTTTTATCATCCTGACCAATCACAAGTCCAGATGAGTGTTTCTCTGGGTGTTTTGATTAATACAGTTATGTAATCCAACAAAACTACATTATGTTGGTCAAAAAAATGCACAATGCAGGGAAATCATCAGCCATGTCACATTTTGTTTCTATGTTTTAATATATTGAACAGTGTATTGCAATTGCAAAATGTAGCAATACAATCTTAACGCTTGTTTTTTTGTCCATATTGTACAGCTCTACTATTCAAGCATTAAAACCATTTTCCTCCCTTTATGTTTAGGCTTTTATGTAGAACATTAAAAACATTAATGCTATCAGAACAAATGGTAACAACAATTCATGTTTGGACACAAAATATGTGGTATGAGCTCCTGTTCCTGCCCTTCCATTGTATTATATCCAAGTACACTTACATAAACATACAGTACTGTGAAAAAGTCAGAGGCCACCCTTTATTTATTTCATTCCACTCCAATGGCAGTTGCTCAATTTTCAGCATCAAAACCTATATTTAATAACAACAGAAAATTACACAGCTTCAACAATAATAAGATCAGTTTTTTCATGATTTAGTCCTTCCACCATTAGCCCTTTATTACAGTGTCCATTCTTTTCTGAAGACTTGGTTTCAGTTTTTCAAAGAAATCTGCAGGGATTTTTTTTTAACCTCCAAAGTTCAGTCATAGAAGTTGGTTACATTTTCTGCTTGTCATAATACAAGTAATGCCAAACACATTCACGGATGATGAAGTCTGGACTATGGGGTGGTCAGTCTGTTGTTCTGAGAACACCAGCAACTTCTTTGTTTGGTTTATGAATTTTTCTCAGTAAGGGCTTCTTGACAGCTCCACATCCTTTCAGACACACAGAGTTGAGCTGTCTTCTCACAGTGGAAGGATGGACAGAAACACCTGTGGATTTTTTCAGATCTGAATCAAGAGTGGAGCTTCATTGTCTCTCAAAGATGAAAGCTTAAAGCACTGTTAATCTGATGGTGACAGTTTTGGTGGTCTGCCAGATCTTGCATGGTTGTTAAGAGTCGCATTTTCTCTGTATCTTTAAATTATTATTTTGAAATCCAGTTTTGAAAACTCTTTGTCTGCTTTGACTTTCTCCTTCCTTAAGCAAGTGAATTACCTTGTTTCTAATCTCCTCAGAAATCTCTGAGGAAATTACTAGAAATTAAATTAATGAAGGGTAGTTTCTGACTTTTGCACGGTACTGTATATTACATAAGTCTGCACTTTTGGAGTAAGATTAGGGAATCCGTTGATCCATGTAAAACCTTTTATTGATGGTTCTTTACAGAATCTGTGAAAATATTCTGCCTGTCACTAAAAGGGTTTTCCTCTTAAAGAGGTATTCAAACCTGGGAAATCCATAATTGATCCTTTTTTAATCACAGATAGTGATTTTCACTGTCCTGGAGCTGTGTCATTAGGAAAGGAGAAGGTGCAAAGTCTGCAGTTCCTCACTGAATAATTAATATACATTACTTGTTTCAATAAATAATGCATTATGGAAATGTTGCCTGTATATGGGTTTTGTTACAAGCATTTCTTTAGTATTCATTTCACTAAATCAGAGAAGTAGAAGCTTTCAACCCTGTTAACTACCAGATGTGTTCTAATAAGTATTCACTGCTGTGCCACGAACACAGAGATGCCAGAGCTTGCAGAAAAACTGAAAGAAACTAAAGGGCTCAGGTGCACCACCTGCTCCACCTGCTGTGACCGTGACAGCTCAGACACACAGAGAGAGAAACAGACAGTATTTTCCAGCAACTTTGAAAAGATAGCAGGGGTTCTATTACTACCAGCAGTCCTCTAGCAAAGGCAGAGTTAAATCAGACAGTTTATCAAAGGAATTGAAAAAGCATGTGTGGCTGTGTATCTGATCTCCAGGTACAGGACACACAATGCAATGAAATACAAGATACTTAGAGTGTTTTGGCCAAAGAACAAAGGAAGGTCAGACAGTAAATAAAATCTCCCAGTGGGTAATTAGCAGGCTATTTACCAGACTACTATACTAAGGAAAAAGTGATTTGTGTTGGGGCTATTTTTGTATCGGCTGTGGTGGGACTGTTGCAGTCTCTGGTTTTGGACTGAGCTGTGGGAAATTCTATAATGACTGCCAGTCTTGGTCCTGGAGAAACCCTTCCCTGCTCAGTAAAGGCTTATATCTGAGTAGCTGTATGTATGTTGGAGTAGGGAAACCAACATAGCATGCAGGGTAAAGGCACTCCAAGATCAGTGTTAGGAGCCAAATAGGATAATAGGTTTTAAATAGGGTAGAGGCTTTAGCTGTTGATTTCTTCACTGCATGTTAAATGAGGCAACATGGCGACATGGTCTACACTGTTTTACATGTGTGTGATGAATTAATTGTTACATGACCATCACTCACATATGAAATATCAAAATGAACACATTAAGAGTGCATTAACAGTAAAATTCAAAGTATTAACCAGTTAAGTGTGAGGTACAAACCACAAAGTACCAGATAAATATTTTGGGTAACACGATGGTGCCTTCCAAGACAGTCTAACCAATTTACTCTGAAATGCTAAACAGGTTCAATTTATTAACTGCGTAAGTATACAAACTCCACAGTACTGTGTGGTAAAACTGGTAAAAAGTGGGTAGTAAGTACCAGGTCATAAAAAGATTGCACACAAATAAAGTACAATAAGTCTTACAAAGTATGTACCTATTTATTACCTATAAAGGGAAATATAAATGACTTCTGGCCTGTAAAAAAAAGCAATATTTCTTACTGTGGTTTTAAGGGGTCCCTTCCATGTATTTTATGCCATATAACCAGCCAGCTTTTTCCGATTTACTTTCTGTGTTCAAATGTGTGACATTACATTGAAATTTAGGGTATGTTTGCACTTACCACCTTGTTAGTCCATATAATTAATAATGTATATTTTATTACATCATTTTTCAATTCCATGACTAGAACCTGTTAGATATTGCAGTGTAATTCAGTTAGACTGTCTTGGATCTTATCATCATTTTACCCAAAATAATTTCACATCTCAATGTATATGTCTGTCTATTTGTCTGCCCTGCGATGGACTGGTGACCTGTCCAGGGTGTATCCTGCCTTCCACCCAAAGACTGCTGGAATAGGCTCCAGGACCCCCCACGACCCACAAAGATAAGCAGTTTAGAAAATGTGTGTGTGTGTGTGAAAATTTCACATCTCTTTAAAACCCGACATTTCAGTGGATTATAGTTAAACTGTCACAGAACTCACTATCATGTTAGCCAAAAGAATTAAATAGTACGTTGGGGTTTGTACCACACACTTACCTGTTAATACCTAGAACTTATGGGACAGTAAAAGAAAAGGTTACCAATTTAAAATAATACTAATTTTTGACACCATTAACTAGTTCAATTCCAGAAATTCTGGAGATTCCACACAATAATTTTGCCTATTCTTGATTCCAAAATGAAAAAAATAGTGAAAGAGATCTGACAAAATAAGAAGTTCAATATTAGGTACCAGTCAGTAAAGCACTGCCCAACCAAAATTATTGGAGACCAGTGGTTCTAAATTCTGGTCTTCACCGCCAAACAGTCCAGATTTTTGCTCCAACCTAAGTTGCAATATGCAGGGATGGAGCATAGAGCAACAATGTGGACTGTCTTGGGGTCCTCGAGGTCCAGTTTGAGAACCACCATTTTAAACTGTTGTTTAATTTTATGTTTTATTATCTTTTAACATAATTTTCCTCCTTAAAATCAGAATCTGTCTCGACACAACTTACATATCGGCCAGTCAGTCTTAATAACAGTGTTGTGGTTTGCATCCAGAATAAATAACTCTGTGTTGCTCCTCTTTCTTCCTCATATCTCACTGCCTTTCATCCTCCATGAAGTTCTGTTCTACTGTTCTAAATTTCTAAATGTATCCTGCGGGCTTAATCTCCACTTTTTATCCAAATGCTCCTCCTTCTCACCTCTGAGGACGGTTTTGAGATTGACCTTGGCCTGGTGGTGCAGCTCCTCCACACATGGTGGTCTGCTCCCTGGTAGAAACACATTCTCCTGCTGATGCCAGGGGGCTGTGTAGTGTACTGACCACTTGCTTTCCTCATCTAGACTGGACACAGCTGGAAATGGAACAGAGAAGGCATAGCATACAGGTCAGACTTTTATGGGAAGCACATTGGAATCACCAGTGCTGAATTAAATCAGGTAAATTTCACTGAAGTTCATTAACTGTACATGATGCAGTCTGGACTCAAATAACTGCTGGTCTGAGTGCTGAATGCTGGTCGTTTTACTCATCAGTGTGGACAGTAAAAATGACTGCGAAAGATATATTTTAACTTGAGTCTCTACAAAGCCAAAGCTGTCCAATATGGTTCTTTGAATCACAAGCATTAATCGCAAATGCATTTAATTAATCTTTAGGCTAGATTCTAAAAAGAGATTTGTTTATGATAAGGAATAAAGAGAGTCTTAGTGTGCGAGCTGCAGAGGGGGAGGCACATGAGGGAGATTTGGGAACTGCAGTCATGTGCTGTCTCCAAGGCTGTGTCCACCTCAGGGAGCATAGGCGAATCTACATAAGCGGCAATAAAGGAGCAGTAAAGCATTTCTGCCTCAATGGGTCTAAAGACACAACGGCTCTGCGTGTTTCTGGCTGGTGCCTTGGTAACCCAGATTATACAATCAATTACACTGAGAGCCTCAGGGCAGGTTTACCCAAGCCGGTCATATCATCACGCCATAAGGGCATGTCAGTGATTATTGATCCATCCAAATCATAGTATCCTGGGGTACTAGAGGTCAGTGGAGCAGTTCATGGTGACAATACAAAGTTTTGAATTGAATGAGTTATAGGTGGTGGGCCATATAAAGACATGGTATCATTATCATGATAAATGACAGCACAATTCACTTTTCTAAGCTATATATTTCATTAAAAAAACTTTAGAAAAGGCTTTCCGAGTGGCAAAGCAGTCTAAGGCTTCTGTACCAGGTTAACTACTAGAATAGTGATGTTGCTGGGAGTCCACAATATTTTATCCAGTTCAAACCATCACTGTACTCATAGTGTTTGATAACATTTTTAAAATGAACCATTACTGTTTTGCTGGTGCACTGTGGCTATTCCAACTTAGCAAAGGTAAATATTGTGATATATTTTGTGTTTCGTGGAAATGTCTTCATGTATTGTGATGTTTTTGTCATATTGCTAACCCCTAGCTGTGAGAAGTCACCAAATCTGCAAACTAGAGTAACCTCAAGAGCTATTATCAAGAAAGTAGATAGGAGCTTTAATGTGTACAGTAGTGCTGAGGTGGATTTAATGGAGTATAATAATATGAACCGTCAAAGTTTATGGATGTATAGATTATTGAACACTTATGTTGATGTACTGTTTACCATAGTGATTGTAGATACCCTTCCCTTCACAGTTTATTCAGCCATTTTCAGTCCTGCAAATGTTCGTCTACAAGACTCCAGTATGCAAGCATCCATTTTCAAGATAACAACAGTTTGGAGGCACTGTTTCAAGGTGACACAAAATCTGGGTCGAGAGCTTGCTGCTTTGTCAAAAATAACTAGCTACAGCAAATCCCTAATCCATTATAAACATTCATTTTCAGTCATTTAAGACTCCTTAACATTAAACTCCATTAATAAAGCAGGGCGCTTGCACAGAACATGCTATTATCTCCTGCTTCCAAAATAACTGAAGCTCTCAATGAGGGGCTCTGAATAAGACTAATGAAAATGCATGAACATCAATAGACACTAAATAGCTCTCTGCAAGAACTTCCCACATTCTTAATTAGACAAAATGAGAAACTGCGTGACAAAGCGCATTTAAACATTAGCCTAATTACAATTTCCAACTCATTCCGCTGATGAACTAACTACTGGCTTTCTGAGTCGCAAGCAGCAAGGTCACTCTGAAGTCTGCCTTCATTCTGGCATCCTTCATTCTGCAGCAGCTGCGCTTCTCACAGACAAATGCACGAAGCCCACCGTGACAGCGCCGAAACATCCCACACCCTAAAATACCTGGAAGCGTACCTGACCTTGAGCCGACCACTGATGGGATAAACCTAACAGTGGCTGCAGAAGTCACGAGGCGAGAGGAGCTTACCCTTCTTCTTCAAGTACTTAATGACAGATTTGAGAGTTGTGCCAATGAACACCATTGTGACGGCTCCAAGCCGGGTTCCTCCAGAGGGATGCGCGTGTGACCGTGTTAGTCCAGCATTAGTGTCAGAGCGAGAGTGTGTGTGTGTGTGTGTGGAGGAGAGGAGAAAGTGAGTGCTGCGAGGTGCAGAGACAGCACTGCCCACACTACACACACTCACTCTATTCTCATTTTACGCTGACTGGCAGAGCTGCGCTCCACTCCCCCTCCCCAGTCTCTCTCTCTCTCCCTCAACCACTCACTCACTCTCGGTCTCTCTCTCCCATTTACCCCATCTCTCTCTTTCTCCCTCACCCATGCTTGCTCTCCCTTTCTCTCGTACCCACTCTCTCTTTCTCTCCCCTCACCTCTTCTTTCTCTCTCACCCACCCACTCTCTTTCTCTCCCTCACTCTCACTTATCCACTCTCTCTACCTTACCCACTCTCTCCCCCTTTCCCCTCTCCCCTTACCCACTCTCTCCCCCTTTCCCCTCTCCCCTTACCCACTCTCTCCCCCTTTCCCCTCTCCCCTTACCCACTATCTCTCTCTCTCACTTTATCTCTCTCCTATTACTCCCCTCTTTTTCTTTCGCCTTACCCTTTCTCTCTTTCTCTCTGTCTCTCCCACTCTTTCTCTTTCCCTCACTCTCTCTCACCCCTTACCCACCCTCTCTCTTTCTATGTCCCCTTACTCATCATCTCTATCCCTTTCTTTCTCACTTTCTCTCACTCTCCTCTTGCCCACTTTCACTCTCTTCCCTTTTACCCCACTCTCTCCCTCCTCTATCATCTCTCTCTCTCTCACTCTCTCCTTATCTCTCTTTTACCCCACTTTCTCCCTCCTCTCCCTATCATCTGTCTCTCTCTCTCTCTCCTCTCTCCCCATCTCTCTTTTATCCTCTCTCTCCCCTTTTACCCCACTCTCTCCCTCCTCTCCCTATTATCATCTCTCTCTCTCTCAGTCTGTCTATCTCTCTTTCTCTCTATCTCACCATGCAGACACCAATCCCCATGGATCTGCAGCTGCTGTTTGAGTTCTGTCTCTTTCACAGCCTCCCTCTATTATGTTTCTCCTCCTCTCACTGTATCTCTAACCCCAGAGCATTTTCAGTGCTTGTCCTTGTTCTGTACTGGAAACTGCATTAGTGCCCTCTCTCACCTTGCTGTTACTCAATCGCTGTGGAGGTGTTCAGCACTGAAACCACACCAGCGTGCTATTGATCACCCGCAATAAGCCTATTTCTTTACATACTCTCCTCTGACTGTGTTCTCTCAGTCATTTCTCTTTTCCTCTGAAGAGTTACACTCTTAAAAAGAAAGGTTCCTGGTCTGGACGTATGATTCTAGAAAAAACTCTTTTTGCCTTAACTGGTATCAGACCGACATTAAGCTCTAAAGAGGTTCTTCACACTTGCACATCATTTTCTAAGACATCGCTCCATAGAATCCTTTGTTTTGTAGAAGTGTAAACCCAGGGGAACCAGAGAGAGTGTGAAAAGAATCTGGCTAGACATTCATTTTAAAGAATCATCCCATTCTACTACTGTTCAGCACTGAACCACTGCGGTATCTCATCACTGCAGAAGCAAGAAGCTACAATCCCAGTCTCTCGCTTTCTCTCGTTCAAATGAGGCATAAATAAACTACTCAGCACTTTCACATGTGAAGCCGATCAGAAGCTGTAAATAACTTGGTCCAATGAGTCGCCCAGCATTTAGATTCTGCACACATGGTCCTGCATTATCCTCACAAATAAAGAGCTGCTGACTTGGTTCTTTGTATACGTGGAAGACTCTTTTTGTAAAAGCTAAAGGGGCACAGACCTCATATTCCAGGCCTGTCAGTACACTCTGTTAGTAAGTGTTTATTTTAATTATGCCCATATTCTTCATCTATATGCATTTACATTTTGATTCCTACTGAACCACAAATATTCAGACTAGGGTAGTCTCTGACTACCGGGCACAGATCCAAAGGTCTCTCCCTCCTTGGGGAGTATTAGTACAGTCAAGGTCATCTCATCCCATTATTGTAATCATTTACTGTGTCAAAAAATCTGCAGTAATATCTTATTACGTATTCTTTACAAAGTCAGCAGTTTATTAAAGTATATCAATTAGAGGCTGACCAATATATCAAATTGATAAAAAAAACTGATACTGAGGTTGATATGATGAATTTCGTAGCATATCTTGCCAATAAAAGACTAATATCACTTTTTCATTTCTGAAAAGTTTATGGGTGTCATATTCGTATACCACTCTTTAGAAAGTGGTTATTAAAAATAAAAAATGGAAAATGCATCCAAACTTAGCCTTTAGCATTAGCATGCCATAACATAACCTTTATATGAGGCAAACTGAATAAAGGTATGAAAAATAAGAGCAAATGAACAGAAACCAACAAAACTTTTTGGGTAGATATCAGTTTTTCTCTATGGGTTTAAAAAATAGCCGTTGTTGCATCTTGTGGCCAGTGGAGGTATTCCAAACCAGATATGTTTGTCCTACGTGCATTTTCCCCTCCAAGTATCACTGGATCCTCTGAATTATGAGGTTGTTTAGTCAAAATGCAAATAATTATACATACATTTTACAAACAAGGTACCACTACTGCACATTAAAATGATAAAAACATTATTATATAACAACATTAACTACTAACAGTGTAGGCTAAAAGTACCAAAGCAATTTAACCACCAGACTTAGTAAAGCTTGTTGTTTTCTGGGGGGTATTTTGGTGAAGTTGCCCATCTTATAATGTCAACTCAGTGCACAGCAGTGTTAGCTTGCTCCTTAATGACCTCATAATTTAGAAAATCCATTGAAATGTACATTCGGTAAAATCTATCGGATTTAGAACACTTCTGTTTACCATTTTTCCCCATAGAGTAATCAGCGGAATATCAGTCAGTACAGCACTGTTTAACTATAATATTGACATCTGTTCAACTT